TGTTGGCTACGCACGGGCTGGCGGTGGCGCTGGCTCTAAGCGTGTTGCCGGGAGGTCGGACACTGCGACCCGGCGACTGCGAAGGTGCGGCGAGGCCGGGGTCCGCGCGCTGAGGCCGGCCTGGCGGCGGGCCGGAACCCAAACAAGCCGCGGAACCTGGAGGCCGGGGTTGGAACGGGCTGGGGCAACGCCGGGCCGAGAGAACTTCGGCTCGGCGAAAAAAAGTTGGGACTGAATCGCGATGAAAACTTGGCCTGAAGCTGAATTAACGCTGGAGTTGTGGTCCTTTCCGAATATCACTGGGCAAAAGCTCTCCGGAGCTGCCCTGTCCGGGGTCGGGAGTCCTGGGGGCCAGCCTCGGAGACTGCGCCGCGTCCGGTGGGGCTGCGAAACCACACTTAAGGGTTCGATGCTGTATTTGGAAATGAGCAGCATTTTGGACGCTTTCCGCGTCGGCCTCCAATTTGTCCATTTCTGAGGTCACAGTGAGTCCATCTCAAGGACACGCTCCATCTCCGCTTAAACTTTATGGAAAGAGCAGGAAGGAGCTGTGGGTGGTTCATTAGGTGATGCGTGGTCCCCGCATTCCCTGGGTGTACCAGGGAACCCAGCAACATAAAGTTCTGCCCACCAGTAGGCACTTGAGAAAAACCTTCATCAAGGTTTGTGATGAAAAGCCCACCTCCGTGTCTGCTATTAAAATTGCGGGCGGAATTCCTTCTGGAGGATTGGGGTGCAACTTGGTGATGGCTGAGCGTCTCCCTTCCCTCTCTTTTCCAGTTTGTATTTCTTATCTGGGAAGATTTTACCAGGACCTTAAAGACAGAGATGTCACATTCTCACCAGCCTCTATTGAAAAAGAACTTATAAAGTTCTGCCGAGATGCTAGAAGCAAAGAAAACCGGTTGGTGAGTAGCTGATGACCCTGCCCCCGCTGGTCACCCAGGAGGCCAGCGGTTCTGTCATTGAACTAGTGCAACTGAGAAATGATTCTTTTTTTTGCTGTTAGTATTGATTACAGCCCCTGTAGTGTGGTGGGTGCTGGATGTATTAAGAGAGAGAGGGTGTGATCAGGACAGCAGGTGATGCAGGTGGATGTCATGAAGAAAATGGACCAGAATGGTGTGGTGGAGAGGATGGGTGCTGATTCAGACAGAACAGTCAAGAATCTCTAAGCAAAGGGGGAAGAGCATCTTAGCCTAGGGATCAGCCTTTGTGAGTGTATGCCGGCCAAAATGAGCTTGGCATGTCTGAGGGGGGAGAATAGGTCAGGGCTGGTTTGAAGACAGAAATGCTAACGCAACAGTGGCTTCTGTAGCTTTCATCTCCCTGGTAGTATCTGGTTTTCCTGTCTCTGTTTAAAGGTTTAAACCCTGGTGATTCTTAACTCATCTGGTGGCTGTCAGCTCTGAGACCAAGTATGTATTAAGAGAGTCCTGGGTTTACAGTGACTGGATCTGCGACTGCAGGCAGGGCACAGGGAAATGAGGCCCTGGCAGAGAAAGAAGACGTTTTGCGATGTCAGTATGTTTTGGAGGAGATGGCTTTTGAGTGGCACTTCCTGAAGACTGTTATCTTTTCTTGCTGCAGTGCTACTACATTGGGGCCACAGATGATGCAGCCACCAAGATCATCAATGAGGTATCGAAGCCTCTGTCTCACCACATCCCTGTGGAGAAGATCTGTGAGAAGCTCAAGAAGAAGGACAGCCAGATCTGTGAACTAAAGTATGGTAAGTGTGTTTTAAACAAACACTATGGGCCTTCTGTGTCAGATTGTACTTTCTAGCTAGGAGAGGCAGGTGATAGACTACAGCCATCTGAAAAAGTTGTATCTAAGCCTGCTGGATGATGCTGGGGTTGCAGACCTAGCATTGTGAGGGGGCTCAGAAAAGCCTTATTGAGCGGGTGACAATTTAGTAAACCGAAGGAGGTGGGATTCACCCAGGGGACCGCCGCTGGGAGAGAAAGAGGTGAAGGAAATGGGTGGGCAGGTAACAGAGGGCCTTGCAGGCTGGAGAAGACGAGGCTATTAGTGTAAATGAACTGAGAAACATTCTTTTTTGAGCAGAAAGGGGATGTCCTCTGACTTGGGTTAATGTGCTTATTCTGGCTGTGAGCTCTGAAGGCACAGTGATAGCTATTTTGTAAAGAACAGTTGTATCCAACAGGCAGGCCTGAGTTATAAGCACCAAAGCATCTCTTGCTGAATAGGTATCTGGTAGAAAAAAATAGCCACAATTTCAGAGTCTGGACCAAGAATAGTTGACCTTTTCTGTACAGTACCAGCATGTTATGACATGAGGTTTAAGGGTCTGTGCTTGCCCACTCATGTCGAACCTTCTAAGAGTAATGCTGGGACATGTACAAGTTCCCTCTGTGTTCACAAGTTGTCAATGAGAGTAAGCTCCCAACTGAAGGGCCTGACTAGGGCCCATGTTTGTTTTTTGGAGCTGAGAGATCTTTCTGCTGTCACCAGGCTGGAACTGTCACTGTGCAGTGACTTCACTTCTACTTTGACTGTGTAAAGGTACTTGGGCATGGAAGCCACCATCTTCCTATAGGGTTCCTTCTGCATGGGCCATGTGGTCACCAGCTTGGTGACTCTGCATGTCTGTGGTGGTCACTGCCACCATGAAACCAGGCTGCACATGAGGGAACTCAGGACCAGTGCCCCTTACCAGGACACCTTGAGTGAGTCTGGCACACTATCTTATTCCCCACAACCAGTAGAACTTCTTCTTTTAAGGGATGGTTTGCAGTGTAAACTGACCCACCCTAAAATTGTTAGGAGTCTGCCCACACCTGCCCAGCTAGTCACTCTCCCTGCTCTCTCCTCCAGACAAGCAGATCGACTTGAGCACAGTGGACCTGAAGAAGCTCCGAGTTAAAGAGCTAAAGAAGATCCTGGATGACTGGGGAGAGTCCTGTAAAGGTTGTGCAGAAAAGTCTGACTACATCCGGAAGATTAATGAACTGATGCCTAAATATGCCCCCAAGGCAGCCAGTTCACGGACTGATTTGTAGTCTGCCTGATCCCTGCTGCAACTGACGGGGGGAAAAAACAAACAAACAAACAAACAAAAAAACAGTTCATCTGTACCTTCCCCAAACAGCCTTTTGTAATTTATTTTTTAGGTGGGCTCCTGACAGTGTCAGGTGTGAAGCTGGAGCTTTTCTGATGATGCTGGCTCTGCAGCACCCCGTGGGGGTTCACTTTATTCTGTTGCTGGTTTACTCTAGGACTTCAAAATGTGTCTGGGATTTTTTTATTAAAGGAAGAAAATTTCTAGCTGTTCTTTGAGAATTAAAGTGAATCCTGAAGTAGCATTTTACCCCAATGAAGACTTTTCCAGCTTACGAGAGTTTTCAGGCATTCACATCTGTCCCTCAACCACCAGTGCTGGAGATAACACGGCCCATGGGCTGAGGCATGTGCAGGATATCCCACAGCTGGGAGGCATGGGGGGGAATGGATCTCATACAGGTGGGAGAGACTTAGGTTGGCGCTCAGTAATAGCAGGACTGAGGGTATGTTTGGTATGGTTGTCTGCAATAATGTCTTCAATAATTGCATGTGTTTTATAAATGTCACATTTTTAAAAAATTATTTATGCATATAAGAACTGGGATATACACTGGAGGCACTGGGAAGTAAGAGGATTCACTAGAGACTGTGAGGAGCAGAACAAGTGGATCTACTGAAACATGCTGCTGAGGGGAGCAGCAGGCGAGACAGGAGAGGTCTGCTGCACCATGTAGGTAGCTCCCTGTCCTGGGATTGAATTTGTGCTGCAGTGGCTGCAGATAACTTCATAGTGCTGAGACTTAACCCCTTGTGCCACCAGGGAGGCCCTGGTCACATTTCTAAAGATGCTCTTGGCCTGGCTGCGTCCATCTAACTGTCCTGTTCTGGCCCACAACCTGTGACCAGCGTTTGTAGCCTCTACTGCCTCATTGGGTTTTTGCAATACTGGCGGGAGTCCATTTGTCCAAATAAGCAGTAAAAGGTTGCTTTTTGCGGGCCCTCCCTGGTGGTGCAGCGGGTTAAAGCACTGCATTAAGAAGCTTAAGCCACTTCCTCATGAGTTTCGATCCCCACCTGCCCTGAGGTGACCACGTGGCAGGGCAGACCTCTCCTGACCCTGCTGGCTGCTCCCCTCAGCGGTGTTAGGTGTTCTTCATCGATCTGCCTGTTCTGCTCCCCACTCTGTCCCTGGTGAATCCTCTCACCGTCCGCATCTCTGGCCTGTACCCCAGTTCTGTATGAATAAATAAATAAAATCTTTAAAAAAAAGTTGCTTTTTGCTTTTCTGTACCAAAATAAGCATGATACTTGTGAGGTCCTTAGGGTTTGTCCTACAACAGTCTGCTTTTTTAGCTTTACTCTGTGAGGTTATTTGGGAAACCCAATTGCTGGCTTAAGCTGTGGTCTGATCTGAGCCTCTGGTGTGCAAACACCACCTGAAAGGAAGTACTAAGATACAGTGCTTTCCAAGAAATTTGTCAGATCTGGGATCACATTAATGCATATCTGTGTAGCACCCTTACAAGATGAAAGCAAGAGTGTTGAGCCACTTATTAGACCAAGACTTACTGATTGGGGAACTGATGGGCCACTTAACCTGAGAAGCCATGTCCTGAGCTTCTGAAAGATGTCTAGGAAATCTACCCTGTCCTTGTTTTCTCCTTGTGGGAGGAAGAGCTGAGTGCCCTTCTTTTCCCTCTAGTTTCTGTGGTTGAAGTTAGGTCTGATTTTGCAGTGGCTCCAGCAACTCTTCCCTAGAGAATGAAGCCACCCCAAGAAAGTTGAGCACCTGGGCAGGAATTCCCCTCATTGCCGTGGGAGAAATAGGCCTACCGGTGGAGGTGTACAGGAGGGCACTGGTCAGCGAGAGGTAAGTGCGGGAAACTATGAACTGGCTTGGCCTCGGCACAGTGCCCAATGACCCTGCCGTTTAGAGCCCAAGACACATCGACCCCGTTTGTTGCTGAGCCTACACAGGTCTTGCCTGCATGCATGCATGGCTATGGTCCTAATGGCCTTTCCCGAGCTGCAGTAAGTAAACCTATGAGCAGAGAAGGCTTGAGATGTGGAACGAGAGACTTGAATGAGGCCACAAATCCTTGGGATTGGCAATCCAGGGCTCCAGTCAGGTTCAGTGGCTGGTAACATAGCCCTAGACTTGGAAGTCACCACAAAAAGATATTTTTGTATCAAGGCCCGGGGTCTCAGTACCCGTAGAAACTGCCAGTCTTGTTCCAATCGACGCGGGCTCCTCCGGCAAGAGCAGTTTGAGCGCTGGTTCCTAGGTCTCCAGCCCGCTGAGGTGCTGTGTGCTGTGTGTGCCAGCCCCGCTGTCGCGAGTGTTTCGATCACTGAATCTTGGCCGCATGGTGGCGCCAGAGCTCACTGCTCCGCCGCGCTCGGGGTCACGTGGCTGAAGAAGACGCAGCCCGATGACACGTAGCCCGCGCGGCTCTCGCCCCGCCCCCAGGGGTCACGTGGTACGACCGGCGCAGCCTGATAACGCGACACCCAGCCCCTGGGCGCCTCTCCCGCCCCGCCCCGCCGCCACCGCCGCGCCGAGTCCTTTTGTCCAAGATGGCGGCGCCGGGGGCGCTGCCTCCTCGGCCGCCGCCGCCGCCGCTGTGAGGGGCCTGCGGGCCGCCCGCCCGCCCACTGCGCCGCCGCCATGAAGAGGCAGAGCGAGCGAGACTCCAGCCCGAGCGGGCGCGGCTCGTCATCGTCCGCCAAGCGGCCACGGGAGCGCGAGCGGGAGGCGGAGGCGGGCGGGCGGCGGGCGGCGCACAAGGCCTCGGGCGGCGCCAAGCACCCCGCTCCAACGCGGGCCCGCGACAAACCCCGCGGTAGCGGGGGCGGCGGGAGTGGGCATCGCGACGGACGCGGCGCCGGGGACGCTAATCACCGTGTAAGCAGTGGCCGCTCCTCGGGCTCGGGCGCCGGCGGCGGGGGACGCGGCGGGAAGGCCTCGGGGGACCCGGGAGCCTCAGGTGCGTCGCCGCGCGCGTCCCCGCTGCCACCACCTCCGCCGCCGCCCGGGGCTGAATCTGCGGGTCCCGGCTCGTCTGCGGCCGCGCCCGAGTACAAGACGTTGCTCATCAGCAGCCTGAGCCCTGCGCTGCCCGCCGAGCACCTCGAGGACCGGCTCTTCCACCAGTTCAAGCGCTTTGGCGAGATCAGCCTGCGCCTGTCGCACACGCCTGAGCTGGGCCGCGTGGCCTACGTGAACTTCCGGCACCCGCAGGACGCGCGCGAGGCCCGTCAGCACGCCCTGGCCCGCCAGCTGCTGCTCTACGACCGCCCGCTCAAGGTGGAACCGGTGTACCTGCGCGGCGGCGGCAGCGGCGGCGGCGGCGGCGGCGGGAGCAGCCGGCGTAGCAGCAGCAGTAGCGCCGCGGCCTCCACCCCTCCCCCGGGGCCGCCCGCGCCCGCCGACCCTCTCGGCTACTTGCCTCTGCACGGCGGCTACCAATACAAACAGCGGTCGCTCTCCCCTGTCGCCGCCCCGCCGTTGCGGGAGCCCCGCGCCCGCCACGCCGCGGCAGCCTTCGCCCTCGATGCTGCAGCTGCCGCGGCGGTAGGTCTATCCCGGGAGCGGGCCCTGGACTACTACGGACTGTACGACGATCGCGGGCGCCCCTACGGCTACCCAGCAGTTTGTGAGGAGGACCTGATGCCTGAGGACGACCAGCGGGCCACGCGCAACCTCTTCATCGGGAACCTGGACCACAGCGTGTCTGAGGTGGAGCTGCGACGGGCCTTCGAGAAATACGGCATCATTGAGGAGGTGGTCATCAAAAGGCCTGCCCGTGGCCAGGGCGGTGCCTATGCCTTTCTCAAGTTCCAGAACCTGGACATGGCTCACAGGGCTAAGGTGGCTATGTCGGGCCGGGTGATTGGCCGCAACCCCATTAAGATAGGCTATGGCAAGGCCAACCCCACCACTCGCCTCTGGGTGGGTGGCCTGGGACCTAACACCTCCCTGGCCGCCCTAGCCCGGGAGTTTGACCGCTTTGGGAGCATTCGGACCATTGATCACATCAAAGGCGATAGCTTTGCCTACATCCAGTACGAGAGCTTGGACGCGGCCCAGGCTGCCTGTGCTAAGATGAGGGGCTTTCCCTTAGGTGGTCCGGACCGCAGGCTGCGGGTGGATTTTGCCAAAGCAGAGGAGACTCGGTATCCGCAGCAGTACCAGCCCTCACCTCTCCCGGTGCATTATGAGCTGCTCCCCGATGGATATACCCGGCACCGAAACCTGGATGCTGACCTGCGAGTCCGGGATAGGACCCCTCCGCATCTCTTGTACTCCGACCGAGACCGGACCTTTTTGGAAGGGGACTGGACCAGCCCCAGTAAAAGCTCTGACCGCAGAAACAGTCTGGAGGGCTACAGTCGCTCCATGCGCAGCCGGAGCGGTGAGCGCTGGGGAGATGGGGACCGGGGCCTGCCCAAGCCCTGGGAGGAGAGGCGGAAGCGGAGGAGCCTTTCCAGTGACCGTGGGAGGACCACCCACTCTCCTTATGAGGAACGGAGCAGGACCAAGGGTGGTGGGCAGCAGGCCGACCGAGGCTCCGACCGCACCCCTGAGCGCAGCCGCAAGGAAAACCACTCCAGTGAAGGGACCAAGGAATCGAGCAGCAACTCCCTCAGCAACAGCAGACATGGGGCTGAGGAGCGGAGCCACCACCACCACCACGAGGCTCCGGATTCTTCACATGGGAAGAAGACACGAGAGAGCGAGCGCAATCATCGGACCACTGAGGCTGAGCCCAAGCCTCTGGAAGAGCCAAAACATGAGACCAAAAAGCTCAAGAATCTTTCAGAATATGCCCAGACACTGCAGCTGGGTTGGAATGGGCTTCTGGTGTTGAAAAACAGCTGCTTCCCGACATCTATGCATATCCTAGAGGGAGACCAGGGTGTTATCAGCGGTCTCCTCAAAGACCACACTTCTGGGAGTAAACTGACTCAGCTGAAGATTGCGCAGCGCCTTCGACTGGACCAGCCCAAACTGGACGAGGTCACTCGACGCATCAAGCAGGGGAGTCCCAATGGCTATGCAGTGCTCCTAGCCACCCAGGCCACCCCCAGTGGCCCTGGCACTGAGGGGATGCCCATGGTAGAACCAGGCCTACAGAGGCGGCTTCTCAGGAACCTGGTCTCCTACTTAAAACAGAAGCAGGCGGCGGGGGTGATCAGCCTGCCAGTGGGTGGGTCCAAGGGCAGAGACAGCACGGGCATGCTCTATGCCTTCCCACCCTGCGACTTTTCACAGCAGTACCTCCAGTCAGCACTAAGGACATTGGGCAAGCTAGAAGAAGAACACATGGTGATAGTCATAGTAAGAGACACTGCCTAGCCCAAAGCCGGCCTTTTTCAGCTCCATATTTGTGTCACAAAAGCAGTTATTTTAAAATCTGATCCCCTCTTATCCCTTGGTTTGAATTCTCTGCTGGGTTATTTTGGTTCCTTGGGTGGACGACCTAAGTTCTTAGGTTTTGGGGGTTTTTTTACAGCGATGAGAAGGGACTCTTGTCATGTTGACTTCTAGTGTATGAGATACTGTCTGCTGTGTTCTGTATTTTTTTATTTTTTGACTAACTGTATGGAAAGTTGTCAGTAAAGCCTTTGTCAGAGGATGGATTTTTAATCCTGTTCAGAGTCTTGACTTAATCTAAGTTTTTTTCTCAAAGACTAGAAGACCTCGCTGCATGCAGAAAATGCCGGGTATTCTTTCCAGCACTGCCAGATCTAAAAGTCCTTGCGATTGTGGCTCTCAGCCCCTCAGCTCTTTGGGCTGAGTCGGGACTGTGTTCGCGTTCGTGTCTAATCTTAACTGAGAGCATGGGCTTCGGTATGTGCTGTGGACCCTGGGATGCCAGCCTGAGCAGAGCCCATACGAAAGGTGGTGAGCTTCAGGTCTGTAGCCTGCAGCTATGGCTGTTTGAGGGTTTGTTTTCCTGCCCTAAACAATGTGTGTCCCCCATCAATTTGAAATGCTGCTGTTCAGTGCTGGATCCTGAGACCTGCTGGGAAGCCGGCCACCTGCAGGTGTGTAGTGCTGTCGGGCAGGGAGAAGAGGGGCAGTGTTGGGCTCGGCTGCCACCATTGTTCTGACTCCTAGGGCCTCAGGAAGCCAAATGCTAGAATGGAGGGTGGAAGGCACTTGCCTTGATTCATTCTTGAATGTTTCCTGGTGTGTGTGAATTCTGGCTCATCCTTTGTTCAGGGCTGATGTGTCAGCGGAGCAAGCCTGTTGTGCCCTGTCACCAAGAGCTTTGTGGCAGCACTGAATTCCCTGGAAGAACTTAAGACGCAGCACTCTGGTGATGCAGGTTAGGAAACTTCCTTTGTTAACTGCTGTTTCCCAGGTGAGCGTGTGCGCCTGGATCTCTTGCCTCATAGTGTTATGTCAGACCACCGGGAAACAGGTGCTTTTGAGAGGAAATGAGGGCGCAGCTGCTGAGGGCTGGGCAGTGCTGGAACTAAAGCCACTGAAGCTAAGAAAGGGAGACATCCTTGAGCCGGGAGGGGAAGGTGGCTCTTACTAAATGTTGTGTTTGCTTGTCTCGTTAGGCAGCATGTATAACCAGCTCCTGCAGCTGAAGCCAGCAGTGTCAAGCACCAGGGCAGAGAGTGGTTGTCACCATAGAACACAGCCCAGACGCCATTCTTCAGGACGTATGGGAATTTGTATGTTCCAAAAAGATCCTTGTCAGGGCTGAGACTAGCTCCAGTGAGAGAAGTTTCAAATTACCTATCTGGAACCTCAGGTTCTACTGGCCATGCCAGGTCTGGTCTACTTACTACCTGTCACATAACAGCCAGACTGACCACTGAGGTGTATGGGGGCCAAGCTGCGGCTTAGTGTGGACTGTATGGGGAATACATACCCCACCCACAATGAAAGGAACAGGGGTTTTTTTTGTTTGTTTTTTTAAGAGATCTTGAGATTTAAAATAGACAAGGGGTCGGTGTCTGGGCAAGTGCTGCTCCCAGGGCTTCAGCAGGTGCCCCTGAGAGAATAAGCACGTTCGTAACGGAAAACACGAACCCAAGGGAATGTTACATGTGTTTGCCTGTTTGTACTTGAGCTTTGCCCATGGTTGCCATATACTGAAGGGGGGGAAGCAGTAGGGGCATCTGGCCACAAGGTAGTAGGTACCATCAGAGCAGGCGTGGGCCGCCAGCCTTACTTGGAGCAAATGAGATGGGGTGGCATGAAGGCACATTCCAGATCCTGACAATGCCTGGTCATAGGCAGGTACTGCCTTGTTCCTTCCGCCCACTCCACAACTTCGCAGAAAGGATGCTCAGGACCCAGAATACACCCGCAAGCTCCCCCAGACAGAGACCTGCTAGAATACCTACATAGAGAAAACACTTTTAATTACTCCTTACCTACCCCAGAGGCATGTCCTCTCTGGCCCCAAAGACAACTGCAGTTTTTGTAAAGAACCACAACCCTCTGTGTGACCTTCCTCTTTCCTCTCCTCCTCGGACCCTCTTCTCAACCACTTCCTTTTCTGGGCTGTTGAGACATCATCAGTTCTATGACCCTATCTCAGAAAGACATGGCCAGGCTAGTGTGTGTAGACCAAGGCTCTGGCTGATGTATGAGACTGCCCCCAGAGAGCAAATTATTGAATCTCATATATCCAGTGCCTCCACAAGGGGTTCAGGTCCTAAGGTGTTGCTTAAAAGCAGAAATTAACAGTCTGCCTTGTTGTTGATCTGTTACTATTCCATGTGTTTTCTCGGCTCTTCAGCCCTAGTAGGTAAGAAAGATAGTTCTTTAGCCTCTCAGGGTACTTTCCTAAGGGTATGTTGTCAAGTCAACCAGAATTCTACTTCCCTATTGGAGGCCTCATCTCCCCTTGAGAGACCTGTGGGCATTCCCAAGAGCTCTGGGTGGAGTTCAGGGAGACAGTGGCTCAGTGAATAGCTAGAATTCTACTTGATTTTTTTTACCTGTTTTCTTTCAATGCATCAGCACCAGCAGTGAGACTGTGTCACTGGTTAGGTATTAGCCCATCTGAGCCGAGGCATGAAGCAAGTTGTAAGCACTGACACCTCTGCTCTGTAGAGGACTGCTGAGGTACCGATGTGACACTGGCCCACTTCAGTGAGTAGAAAACTGTATGGTGCCAGCAGGGCTTTGCCAGCCGCTGGTGAGTTTTAGCTGTTTGGTCTTGTTTGTTTACCCAATAACCAAATACATCCCCTCTTCTCTTGGCAAAGGTAGAACATTCTCTAGCTATATAGTACCTATACAGTAAAGACCACGAAGCTGTTATTTGGGCAAAATCAAAGGAAGGGAGAAACATGGGTCTTGTATTTATTTGGGGAAGGAAAAGTAGTGAGGCTACAAGAGGAATGCAAAGTAAAAGCACCTGGCACTTACCTGGTGGTAGCAGTTAGCCACAGGCCACTTTCAGAAACCTGTGGGGTAGCTGCAAACCCAGCCTGACCCAAGACCTCACTGACCCTAAACTGCCCAAGCTGAAGGACTGCTCGCGTCCCTTCAGGATAGTAGTGACAGTCGCCCGACCTCAAAGAAGGTTGGATGATTTCTGTCCTTAGCTCTCCCTACTTAATTCCTCCAAAGAGTCCCCTGAACTCTCCAACTCTACCAAATCTGTATTCTGGCCTGCCTTCTTGATTCAGAACCCAGAAAAAGATAATGCGTGCAGACAGCGCCCTGAACTCGCCCCTTGCATGGCAGATGCCCCCTTGGAGGAAGGCTAACGTCAGCATAGACACTCTGCCACCTTCTCCCAGAGTGCTCTTTTACAGAACAGGTTCTGTCCTAGACCACCTCTCCCAGTCCTCTTGCCTAGCAAGACCTGCAAGGAGAGGGACAGACCCCACCTCAGTAAGACGAGAACAGGGAAAGGCCATAAACAAAGACAGACTTGTAGTTTATTTTGTATTTTTTTTAAATAAATACACTTTACATTAAAGAAAAAGGCCTTTGATTTGTAATTTCCATATTGGGGAGAAAGGGAAGAAAAAAAGATCTTTGAAAAACTAAATCACAAAGAAAAATAGAGGGTGTGAACTTACATCCTAAGTTCCCTCAACTCCAGAAAGCCAATATCCAAAGACCTTGCTCAGCCCCCAAACCACGAAGGTGGGTGAATGTAGGCACTGACTCAGCAAACAAGCAGGGCCTTCCCCCCTCTGGCACAAAGGCAAACAAATTAACCTGACAGCTTATGAGGCAACAAAACAGGTTAAAAAATCATATATTATATTTATAATAAAATATTCTTAATCCTTATCAATTTAAGAAACCACGATTTTCCTTTTCATTTAAATATGTGTGTAAAAATGCCTCTACATTGTTCTTTAGACATCATTTTCTTTCACAGAAAATGAAGTGCAGGGATGAGAGACCTGGTGGATATAAGTTCATACCCTCAATTATAAATGCCTTTTTTTTTTCTTTTTGAGTTTTATAAAAAACTATTTCTTGTTCTTTAAGTAAAGAACATTATACAAAGAAAATATATTGTGAAATAACCCCCAGAGACTTTTTCCCTTGAGGAAAGATATGTCCATCTTAGAATGGGGGAGCAGAATAGGGCCTGAACCCTGTAGTCTTTTTTGTGTTTGTTATTGGTTTTGGAAGGACCCTCAGATTCCAATGAGACTATAAGCCATAATCCTCTGAATGCAGGGCATGCAGTTCCTTAAAAAGACAGACAGCCCTGGGGAAAAGGGAAGGGAAGGTGGTCTGAATTCTTTTGACTCAGTTTCTCGCCTGCCAAGAATCTCTTCCACATGGTGATGGCTCCTCACTCATTCAGAGATAAGATAATGTCATCTTCCAAATCAGAGTTGTCAGAGCTGTCAGCTGAAAGGTAAGAAAAGGGAGAAACTAGATTATGCACTAAGTTTAGGAACTTTCAGGAAGGAAGTACCTGCACACACATACACTTCTACTGAACAAGGTTAATTGCCAGCTTTCAGAAAGGAAACTCATTAACTCACTCCTTGGAGCTGGCTCTGAAGAATACTTGTTGTTACCAAAGAGGTCACCCTTGGGATCTCTTGCTCTCTTACCTTTCAAAGGGCCTGGCATGGTACCCTCTGCTTCCAAGAGATTCTTCCAGCCTGGGGGGCCCTAAAAGGACTCATCAAGCCCCTTTTGTAGTCCTCACCCATGCACTGTCATCAATGACAGGTAAAGGGGGCCATGAATGAACCCCTGTGGCTATTTGGCCTCTGGCATCTTTCAGGGGTAAGCACAGGCCTGCCTGACCTCACAGACCCCTAAAAAGGCAGGGAGTACCCAGCAGTTAAGTTTTTTATTAAAACTGTTCACTCTCATAAGCAGATGCAGTTAACACAGGATTTATACCTATTCCTATGCGATTTCTGAATGTAAGCTACAGGGGAACAAATGCCCAAAAATGTACAGGCCAGCCTACAGCAATACCATAGGAGTGCCTAGGAATTCTGGGCTAGAGGCAGGTAGCAGCCAGGGTGTCCTGGAAGATGGGGCCATCTCTGGCACACAAGATGGTCTGTGCTTGACCATCTGCCTTCTCAATCAGTGAACAGACCACACTAACACCGCTGAAAGGATCCATTAAGGAGTAAAACCAAGTGGTGGTAGAAAGAATCCTTGAGATGAGGCTCTGGCCAGTCACAATCAGAAATACAGTACCTCACTCAGAGGACACTAGTATTGGAGAGAAGGGAAAGGTCTTCATGACCATTGTGATTACAACGCAGCAATTTGAACAAGGCCCCCAGAAGTAAAACGTGACCTCAGCTAGAGCCCCACAAATGCTTATAGGCTATGGGGTTCCCATGTAGAGACAGATGGCCAGTGAGTCCAAAGAAACCCTGTATCTGCTTTCCCCAGCTACTGGATACCAACTCTGGAAAGCTGCGGAAGAACGATGCATGTTCTCAGGTTCTTCCCCTTAAGTCACTATGCTCCTTTAGGAAGGAAACCAGGGTAAACATGGCTATGATACATACAACAAAGTCCTGAAATCAAAAGAGATAGGTGGAAAAAATTGTTCCTGGGTCTAAAGAGCACAAACATGGCCTTTCAACTTAGGAATGGAGAACACAGAATGGAGCAATCAAAGAATACTCAACACAACTGAATCAAACTAAGCTTCATCAGCTTTCTTGCAAGAAGTCAAAAAGGCAGTTCCAGCAGGAAAGGGTAGGGTCCTACCCAGAGCCAAACAGAGGACCAGGCTTTCAAACAATTCCTTTATCCTCATTTGCCCAAGAAGCTAATGCCAGTGTACAGCTGCTAAGACCTAAGAGCCTGCAGACAGCTGGGGCCTGTAAATGCAGCTAGAGTGAGCATCAGCACAAGCTTATTTGGGCACTCAGGTGGCGGTACTCCATTCTCTGCCTTCCTCGGCTTTTTCTCTCTCTCCAAATGGTGAAAAGACCCAATCTAAATCCTGGTCAGGACTGCCCCTTCCGAAAAAGTCTTTAACAAAGGTGATCTGAATTTAAACAATCAATCCCAGCAATGTCTATTCAGCCTGCTTGTCTACAACATACAGGTTTTATGTGTAAACAGAAATGAAACAAATACCACAAGAGTCAAGATGGTTCTCTTCTAGAGCTGGAGTTCTGTATGTGGAATCGGTCCTGAGTCTCTGTGGGATCCCAGGCCTGGACAAAGTTATGTGGAGGCACACGGGGTGTGGTTTTCTACAGTCTCAATGACTTTCATCATATTAAAAGGGCTCCATTAAGCCCCAAGAGTTTAAAAGGTAACCCTCTTAAAAAAAAAAAAAAAGGATTAGTGTGAGACAAAATGTCAGCAAACCAAGGGCACAGAGTGCTCTCCCTTGTTTCAAGCTGCTGTGGGTCTCTGACATACAGAAATATAGAAAGCAGGGAGCACACACCTCGGATGCCACCTCCACATTGTCACCTCAGTTCTAGAGCTGAAGCTGTCATGACATTTTCATAAATGTACCCACCAAGTTAAAGTAATATTCTCATTCATAGTTTTCCAGGTTACCTCTTGGACTTAAAAAAGGCATTTCCTAAATGAAACATTTAAAGGCTTAAATGAAGCAGTAATTTTACAGACCAAATACTAGTGGCTTTACATACAAACAAAAAACCAAAGTGAAACTCCCATGCTGGACCATGGCTTGCCCTTCCCTAGCCTGCCTAACTGAATAGAACTTGCACCCCCACATAGAGGACACAAAAAAATTCAGTGAAACTTGTCCTTTTATTCACATCAATACTGTCATGTGTCTCTTGTCCCTTAGTCCCCCTTACCTGGCTTTTTTGATCATGGCTAGAAACAAGCTAAGTCCTCCTCCGATGAATCACCTCAACCTCCAAGAATGGAAAACTGGAAGCTGATAAACAGTAGATGGGCAAATCCAAGGTATTCCCCCCCTCCTCCCAGCCTCCAGAGATCTTCCTCAACATAGAACTTTGACAAGTGGACTTATATAAGAAAGTCTTCCCCAAGCCAAAGGCCTTCAACCCTGTGGGTTAGAAACACATGTAAGATTTATCCCAAAGAAAATAGATTCAGGTCACTGGAGAATAGGATAATCTTTTATATGTTTAAATATACATGCCACCCACTTACACACACTCTATCACTCACTCTAACACCAAACATTAGTGATTATAAAAAATAAGTGTATATTATAAAGAAGTGTGGCATTTGTTGGGTCAGAGTTGGCACAGAATTATTTTCTGTAATGCTGTGTTTCATATCTGTGCTATTCAATATGGCAGCCACATGTGACTACTTAAAATAGGGACATTTAAAATATGGACATGAAAATGAGGGACTGAAATTTTTTAATGACAATCATCTGGATCTGAATTTTTAATTAAAAGTTAATCACCGCATGTGCTAAGCAGCTACCATGTTAGACATAATACCTACCGTGATTGTGAGAATGCTGGTCAGGTTAGCTACATGAAAAAGGCTGGATATCACAGGGATTACTAGTCCCATTCAGGCAGGGAAGCATTAGAAAGAACGAGGACCGCAGCAAGCATGAGTCAATAGTGACACCCATCACAGTGACACTGTCAAATATGTCCACGAAACATGCAGAATATAGCTGCGGAGCTAACAAGCTCAGAACTATTCACTAGTTTATCAGGATTCATTAGCAAAGTCAGGGCAACTTGACTTCAAAACACCTATCCTAATGCTGGAAATTACTAGAAAACTGGCGTTTGTTCTTGATAACTTGGAATGAGAAAGGAAAAAAGAAATAAGTAGTAGCCAAAGAAACCTTTGCCCTCTGTTCTTGAGAGATTAGGAAAAGCAGACAGCAGGAAAGGGCTCCTCCACAAGAGGACTTTATTTCTTTATGACTTTAGAAAGGAGCAGGTACAGCACCCAGAGCAGCTGCCCCTCAGAGAGAGCTACACTTTAACCTTCCATTCTAAGGTCAATACTCAAAAGCAGAGGTTGAGAAACTACAGTCCATGGGCCAAACCAAGCCTGCCACCCATTTTTGTGAATAAACTTTTATTAGAACACAGCCAATCATTTATTTACAGTCTATTTTCTGGCTGTTTTCTTGGCTTTAATAGCCAAGCTGAACAGCTGCAACAGACACCACACTGCCCATAAGGTGTGAGTTATTTACTGTGTGACCTTTATGGAAAAAGTTTGCCAACCTCTGTTTTAAAGATGGTAACAGCCATTCGGTTTACAGAGTCTGATGGGAGAGCAGAGAATAAGATAAGTGAAGTTGCTTGTCCTCAAGGAGCCAGAGTGGTGAATTTATAGTTATGGGATACGGAGCCCTGGTATGGTTTGCCCCCTGGGCTGGGCTGGCACAGCAAAGGGACCTTTCCCTGGATGCCAAGGCTCAGCCTCATGGTCAGCCCTAGACTTACTGTCCCCCAGGATCAGTTCCACTTCCTCGTCTGCATCAGAGTCTTCATCCTCCCCGTCCTCTCCCTCCTCAAGGAGGTTTGCTAGCTCCTCGTCAGAGGGAGAAAAGTCATTGTCCCCATCCTCCCCTGCATTCTCATTGTTGTCATCCTCCTCCAATTCCGCCTCCAGCAACTGGTCCGTGTCAAGCTCATCTAGATCATCAGTGTCATCATCATCTTCATCATCATCTTCCTCCTCCTGTTCTTCCTCTTCCTGGTAAGAGAATGTGAGGTCCATTAGCCTGACCCAGGTAGGGGAGTCTGCCCTCCTTCCCAAAGGCAAAGGGAGGAAACTGTCAGTAGAGAGGGGTAATCTAGTTTAACACAGACTTCATGGACCAAATAGATTTGTCAGTGATGGATATGTAGGCCTCCCCAAACACTCTGAGACAATTCCAGGTCAGGCCGACCTTAATCAAGGAACCAGACAACTTGCTTCACAGAAATCTTTGCCATCAATAGTCTAGGTACCTAACGAATTAATAATGAATCCCAGGAGGCCTTATTTCTCTCCTTCATCAACCAAACCAAGTTGAAACACTGGGAAAAAAAACTCCCACATGGTATCTAAAGCAACAGTGTAACAAAACAAAGGGACACAGCTGTCTAGGTGAGTTCTCAAGCCCTTCAAATTCTTGTAAACAAGGATGTGGGTAAACCTCTAACAAGTAGTGCTACCTTGAGCATCCAATATTCCAAACTGTCTAAAAGACCTTTACAATATAGAACATTAACAGATACCCACAATTTCTGTCTAAAACCAAAAAAAAAAAAAAAAAAAAAAATGTATGCCAGGGAAGTCATCCATCCTTGTGTACTTAAAAGAATTTTCCGGATGCAGGAAAACCAACTGAATACTTTTGGCTGTGAGGCTTTGGAAATGGTGTTTCCTAGTATCTGCCAGATTTCAACTCTGCATTAGAATCTAAACTGCTGCCCTGTTTCAAGTAGGACACCTCTGCTTTGAGAAGATGACAGGTGTTCCCAAATCAATGTGACCAACATTCAGTTATGTATCTTTCTGCTCAAACATCACTTGTCAGCAACTAAAGAATTCTAATTCCTACAATAACATATACTTAATATATGGCCTAAAGAGAGTACAGATGAAACAAGCCCAACATAAGATATTTTCAAAACACTGCTTGAAGTGTTACTGCACTTAACATTTCATGCTTGTCCAGCCACTAGTGCTGATCAGCTGTAATGGGCACAAGGCTCACATTCAGCAGGGTATCTGGGGCTTTAAATTAATTTGGAACCACCATTCAGATATTTTTTCATATGGTTTTTGGCGGGTGAATTAAAACTTCAACAATTTTGTGCAGTATATGGAAAGACTAACTCCTTTAAATACCAGTACCTCCCACGCACACACATGCATCTCAGCCCACTGTCCCACCATCTTGACCACAGAGCACTCCACTGGAACAATTTACCCAGCAGTCATCCACTGGGAAGAAGCTGAGTGTGGATGGCAATAATGATAAACTGAGCCTTAACTCCTAGCCAAGCACATCAGCTCATGCAAGTAATTGTGCAAGGGAAGGAAGGTCAAAGTCCAGAGAAATAACCCAAGTGCTTACCAGATTACAACTTTTTGCTTCTTTTTTCCCAGGTATATATCTCATGACCTTTACCAAATTTATTGCTAATCCATTATCAAAGTACTGCAGTTAAAAACAAATACTTAAAAACAAATCCAGGGCCCTGTGTCTCTTAAACTCAGAATAATTACATTTTAAATTTAAGTTAGTATAGCTTTCATTTTTTTATTCTAAAATAAATTCAATGCATAGTTATTGACATGCACACTCATCACTATTTGGGATAGGAGAAAATGCTCAGGCTTTGGGGTCACACAGCTTGGGTTAGAATCCTGGATGTGCCAATTTACATAAATTTTCAAATATCCCAGGATAACATAACTTGTAAAGGCCCGCAGCTGACTGGATAGGTAACATTTTAGAGTAAACGGTTCTAACTGGATCTATTAACCAGCAAGTTTAGGAAGATCATTCTCTACAAACACATCAAGCTTAAATAGTAACTATGAAAAATGTTCCCAAATCAAAAGCAATCCTAGAAAACAGGTCAACCAGGATCTAAATTTTGAATTATAGATATCACTCCAAATTCTTGGAGTCCCACAAATCCAACCTTTACTTAATCTGTAGTGTAAGAAATTGTTGATACCTATTCCCAGAAGCCTATGTGACCATGACAGAGAAAGGAAATAAGCTGGAAGGGTAGTCTACCAGAATGCTCATTTCAGGGTCATTTCTTCCCTCACTGGCAGAATTTAGCTCACATACATTTTCAGTGCTTGGGGAGAACAATAAAGGCCTTTCAAGAATGACTAAAACAGTTAGCAGCAGGCGTGTAATCAGTTTCTTACCATCCACTTCCATGCAGTGGAGAACACACAGGAAGCACAGCACAGTGTGTCCCAGAGTTCAAATTGGAGTGGAGAAAGGAGCATTATTCCCCGTATTCTTTTAATGAATTTAAGGTTAACTATAAATAGATGAAATGTACTGGCTTTTCAAAATATAGGCAAATGATCAAATACCAATCTTTGATTTTATAATTTTCCTAAAACAATAAAGTAAAAGAATTAAAAGATAAAAATAAAACAACAAATACCCAAATTCCAATGAAAGTGACTTATCACTGCTTTCATCAAAAACTTTAAGCAGCGTGGCAGCCACAGGAACCAAATATTTATGGCTGAAATAGATTGCTTATTTTTTTACTCAACAATATAGTCCATCTCTTTAAGTTGATCTCCAAATTTATTTAAACATGGGCAAAAGCCAACTGGTTTTATGTTATATAAATTACCTCTAAATCTCTGTAGTAAATTACCATTAAATAGGTACTTTTATAGGACCATTTTATAGGCTAGCAGATGACCATTTAAGCTTCTTCATTTTGCTGAAATAGAAAGGCAAATTCAAAGGTGTTGGTAATAGGTGCCTGCACCCCTGGGTCATGTTTAGTCAATGCCTGGAACATCTCAGATGTGAGAGCAGATTATCTATAGTAGGGCAGAACTCTGAATACCAAATGACTCATGAAAATGAAGTCGCTGTTTTTTAAATCTGGTAGGGCACATAAAAGAACGTGAGTTTAAAAAAAAATCAAGCTGCCACAGGAAGAGGTGGGTAGGAGAAATCTGATGCAAATAATAAATATAGCAAAATGCTACAATAAGATTCTAGGAAGACATGTGAATCAACAAAACTAAGGCTACAAAGGAAACCTACTTAGATATGGTATAATTCCACTAACATATCTCTTAATGAAAAATCAAAATGCCAAGAAATCATATAAATCTAAAAATCCCCAAATACTTGGAATATTAAACATCACATTTCTAAATTAACACATGGATCAAAGAAAAAAAATACCATCAAATTTAAAAATACTCAAAACTAAATGAGAAAATAAATGAAAAACAACTTTAAGTTCATGAGATATGGTAAAGGCAGTGCATAGAGGGAAATTCATAAATAGTGAATGCATATGTTAGAAAAGAGGGAAACTGTAAAATCAATCACCTAAGCTCCATCTTAAGAAATTAGCCAATTAGGGCTCACTAAGCCCAAAATAGTCAGAAGAAAGGAAACAACAGAGATTAGACCAGGACTCAATGAAATTGAAAATAGGAAATAGGGCCCTCCCTGGTGGCACAATGGGTTAAAGTACAGCACTATGAAGCTATGGCAGCCACTGCAGCATGGGTTCAATCCCCAGCCCCAGGGAGGTGACCCACATGATGCAGCAAACCTCTCCTGACCCGCCCACTGCTCTGAGCTTCAACAATGTACTTCGTTGACCTGCCTGCTCTGCTCCCCACTGTCTCTGGTGAATCCTCTCACCTCCAGGTCCTCTGACCTGCACCCCGTTCTTATATGCATAAATAAATAATCTTTTTTAATAATAAAACTCCATGACCTCAAATTTGATTAGCTACAAGAGAGGGACCAATACCCAGAAAAACACATTTTGTCAAAATGTACACAAGAAGAAACAGACAACCTGAATAGACCTCTATCTGCTAAAGAAATCTAATCAATTAATTCAAACTTTTCAAAACAAAGTACCAGGTCCATATGAGTTAATGATTATTCTGCTAAATTAAAATTTTTATCAATGCTCTGAAACCTCCTCTAAAAGATAGAGGCACACAGAATACTTCCTAATTTATTCTATGAAGCCAAAGCCAAAGACATTACAAGCAATGAAAACTATAGACCAATATCTCTCATGAACACGATGCAAAAATCCTCAACAAAATATTTGCAAAACAAATCTTACAATATATACAAAGAATTACACACCACAACCAAGTAGGATATATTTCATCTCTGCAAGACTGGCTCATATTTTAAAATTAATTAATGTAATTCATTTCTTCAACAACTTAAAGAAGAAAAAAATCACATGACTACTATCAATAAATGCAGAAAAAGACTAACAAATCCAACACCTTATGATTTAAAACTTCCAGCAAAATAGGAATGGAATGCACTTCCTCAACTAGAAAAAGAACATCTATAGAAAACCACAGCTATCCAAAAAAAAAAAAAGAAAGAAAGAAAACCACAGCTAGCATTGTTACTTAATGGTAAGAAACTCCAGGTTTTCCTGCTATGATGAGGTTCAAAATCAGGATCATGATTTTTCAACAACATACTGTTAAGTTCTAGCTAATGCCATAAGACAAAAAAAAAAAAAAAAGGAAATAAAAATGTGTACAGATTAAGAAGGAAGAAAGAAAAATGTCTTCATGACCATTTATGTAGAAAGCCCAAAATAATTTTGACAAAAAAAAGAACTCTGGAACACTTAAGTGACTATAGCAGGGTTGCAAGATTCAAGGTTAATTCACCACCTTTTGAGTCACAGGGAAAATTCAGATCATCAGATAGCTTTAGGGACAGTGTAGGTGTGGACTTGAAGAGAGTTAAAGAAGCTCCAAAGATCAGGGCAACAAGAGGAATCGGGGAAGATCCAGCCACAGGGGAGACAGTCAAACCCGCAGGACTAGGGGCAACGAATAAGGACAACAAGACATTCTGGATCGAGGATGATAAAAAGATAAGGGATGGTAATGTAGGAAGATCCTAAGCACAGTAGCAGATTAAGTGCAACTACCGACAACTAAAACCAATCACAAAGAGACAAATGGAACTTCAGAATAATGAGGGAGGAGAAAAAGTATATATTCCCAAAGCAAGACTCCACACTGGCTTTCTTTGCCCCTCCAAGGTACTTTATACCTGGGAGTCTTTACTTTTTGTCCTTTTTCCTAAATATACCTTCTTTACTCTCCAAGGCAAAGTTTGTTACTCTCCACTTACTTCACTGAAAAGTCTGTGAACTGTTATACAGCTTCACAAGACAAGAACTTGCAAGACAAGAACTCTTGATTACCAGGGTAAAAGCAGCAGCTGTGATCACAGTAAGTGTGCACTCTGGCATCACCTTCCTATAGAACGCTTTCCTATAAACCAGCAATAAACAAGTACACACTAATATTAAAAATAAGAATCAGTTTTCCTGCCCACCTATGACTATGCTGGTCTTTTCTTCTTTCTCCTTTTCCTAATAAACCTGCCCTTCTAAAATGTAAAAAAGGAGTGTCACTTTAGTAACAACCCTAAATGATACACTCGAGTATAAATCTAAAAAGGTACACAATCTAGAGGAATTTCTATGATCCACCTCAGCAGAGTAATTTTTCTGTTTATGAGCACTGGGAGGGTGGGAGCTGATTTTCCTGAAGTCATAAAGGGCATGGGTCCTGAGCACGAGCATAAAGAAATCCTTGAAGCAAAATCAGAGATTGCTAACTTGCAAATTAACTTACAAATAAAATATGAACATAGGTAAAGTTTTATAATGACAAAATGTGCTTTCTCCAAGTTAGAGTGATCAAGAAGCCATAATGGGCTTTCATAAAACGGCAGCAGGTAGCAAAGGTTGATCTTAAAAGTCCCTATAGTGGAAAGCAGAAAAGCATAATTTATTCAGCATTGATGAGCAGAAAGAACTCTCAAAGATCACTAACCTGGTCCTCTTCTTCATCCTCGTCTTCTGCCAGACGCTGCCTGCCTACTTCATATAGCCTGCACACTGTGTCCATGTTTAGAGAATCCATGCTGCCCTGGTTCTGCAATAGAACACCATGCCACAAATAGCAGTTAGTTTTAAGAAGGCCCACTTCCACGACTCATCTCTAACTGGTACCATGTACCTTGACTCTGTAAACTATCAGAGCTTCCAGTACCCCCAAGACCTGACTTTGAAAATTTATACCTAGGATAAGAGAAAGAAAGAAAAACGGATGAGAAGGCTTGAGCAACAAGGGAAACAAAGACGAGAGATCACCATACTTGGAACATACACATCTTGCTCTGGCAAGAGATCAAAACTCCTCTAAAATAGGAATTATTAATGTATTGAGATATTCTTACTATCTTTCTTGCATAGAATGTCTCCCAAATCAAAGGGCAGATTATCAACAACCTACCCTCGGGAGTCCATCAATTTTAGAATACATCTTGGACAAAGTGCCTGTAGTATAACTTGAAAATGGTCTAAACATCAGTCCAAAACAACATTTCTGCTGGCTCCCTTTACCTCAATGACAGCAAGATAACAGTCTTTGGTGTCTGTACACAGGTCAAAGATGTTCCGTTTCACATCGATGGTTGCTGGAAAACAGAGTACAAGACTTGGGATTGGATTAACACTATGACCAAAAAAACAAGCCCACTAGAGGAATTCAGAATTCAAGGAATTCTGACTGGCCAGAAAAATTTACACAACACTTTGCTTTCCAGTGAAAATTAGCCTTTCCACTTAAAAATCTTAAATTAAGATGTAGGAATGGGGAGGAGGCATTCTCTGGTGGCGCAATATTAAAGCACAGCACTACAAAACTAGCAGCAGTCACTTCACCATGAGTTCAATCCCAGGTGAGGAAGGTGACCCACATGGCACAGCAGACCTCTCTTGTCTTGCCTGCTGCTCCCTTCAGCAGTGTACTTCATCAAGGTGCCTATTCTGCTCCCCACTCTTTCTCTGGTGAATCCTCTCACCACCCCTGCACTTCTGGTCTGTACCCCAGTTCTGTATGCATAAGTAAATAAACCTTTGAAAAAAATGGAGTGCCCTCCTCAGTGGCACCACGGATTAAAAAGCATTACAAAGCTACCTGCAGCTACTGCAGCCAGAGTTCAATTCTCGGCCAGGGAAGTGACTGACCACATGGCGAGGCTGACTTCTGACCCACCCACTACTCCCCTCAGCAGTGTATTTCAGTCAGTCTGCCTGTTCTGCTCCCCACTCTGTCTCTGGTGAGTCCTCTCATCTCCCTGCACCTCTGGCCTGTACCAGAATTCTCTTAAAAAAAAAAAAAGTAGGAATGTTAAAAAGATGACAAAATGACCAGTCTGCCCTTTCATGCTTACCTATAGGTTTGTAGTCAGTTGCGTTAAATGTTCGAAAGGAGGATCCAAACGGGCTTTTCATCCTCTCTTCCATTAAGTCATCTTCATCATCTGCCTGCAACATAGCTAGGTGAGAGGGAAAAGGAAAGAAGGATATGGGGCAAAACATGTTAGAATCTGAATCCCCTATTGACAAATGCAGAAAATATTAATGGATTATCAAAACTTCAGCAAATTTTCTTGTAGTAAAATCACTCTGCATCTAGTTAGTTCCTCTCAAAATACCATCATTGCACAACCCAACTATTGTTAACAAGTATTCTCAATCTTTCAACTAGCTCCCAGCAAATGTTACAGCTGAAGGCTTACAATAACAACAGATAAAATGTAAAGGTTCTTCTTCAGTATGTAATTATACACACAGCAAATTACTGAACAAAATTTCTTGCGTTGTAAGACTCATTTGTTATCATTAATGTCAGGGAGCTTTCATCCTAAATCAACATTATTTTCAGCTTCTCATGTGCCACCATTTGTACTATTATTTTCACTTTTTATTTTATTTTATTTTATTTTATTATTTTCACTTTTATACAACTTTCAGATGGTTTCCAATTTACATTTGAGTGGTATTTTTCAAAAAGGACGTATAAAACTATGTGAGGCAGAAGAAAGAACAATGAAAAAAAGTAAAGGTTTATTACCTCCATACATCACTGTCCCCGTGTGGTTGAATACCACACGACACTGATCTAGAGCAGGAACTGTGTGTAAAAGATGAAAAGTACGAAGATCCCACTAGGAGAATGGTTAAGGAAAAGTATTTTAACACAAAACTTCTAACTTCAGATAAGGGGGAAATTCTAACAACCCTTTCTTTCCTTCCTACGAGGCACCACTTCTTTAAAAATCAATGAAATCAAGATGAAACTAAAGCATATAGACTATGCATTACTGAATAATTAGTCCCTTAATCTCATGTGGCATTGCTACTTCTTGCTCAGATGCTCCCTTCCTCTCATATTGTCATTTCACTTTTACTCTTTTACTTACCAAATACAGCACAAAAGTACAATCCCTGTGAAAAAGATAAAAGTGAATTCAACAGCTAAGAAAGTGGAAGACAGGAAACATCAAAGAGAGTCCACTGAACTGTCACTAAAACTTCAAATCAAAGGAGAGGAACCAGAGTATTACCTGAGAATACTTGAAACATGTATTGGAAGAAACTATTTCTGCATCACAAACTAGGTAACAACATATGGATGGTATAAAGGATACAATCTCAGTATTAATGATAACCTCTAGTCCATTTGGATGGAAAACACCACTGATGTTCATGTTGAACTTGTCAAACTTGTGGATGGCCTGTGAAGAGCGGACGTCCCAGAGGACGCCATCATTTAAGACAAGATCATCTGTAGGATTAAAGGTGGCACAGTTCCTCTTGTAGTTATTGGCAAGATCTGGGTTAAACAGAGTCAACAGCTTGTTGCCAGTCTGAATATCATAAATCTTTAGAGAAGAAGGGGTGGGGAAGAGAAAAATCAGACCAATACATCCATTTACAAATTCAAAGAGAAGCTGTGTAAAGTATCTTCCTCATGCTTCCAAATTCCAAATTTACAAGAGCCCTAATATTGTAAATTAACTAAAAGTAGAAAGATCACACCCATCCAAGTAAGCTTAAGTATTCTGATTTGCATTCAAGGTTTTGAAAAGTCTCTTTTCCATAAATAAAAAAATGAGAAGTGAGACTACAACAGGGATAGGGAAACCCTCTTAACCCCACCCCTTTTAAGTAACAGAAAATGTTTCTAAGAGTAAAACTGAAAAATTCTCCATGTGGATCAACAAACATAATAACCCTAGAATACTCTTAAGGATTACTTTTTGGAGAAAAGCATCAATGTGAAATAACCCTTTCTCCTTGTGATCTTCCATTATGCGTATTTTACCCCTACAATACTAAAAGTTTCAAAGTAAACACTGTACACCCAACTCAGAGATTAACTTCCCCACAAGCTCACAGAGTATAATATACTTTAACATTTCCAATTTTTTTTTTAATTCCTTCAATATAAGAATAAAGAGACACTACAAAGGAAGCAACCAAATAATTCAGATCATGGGATAGCTAGCCTGGTTTCTTTAAAAGTCCACATCATGTAAACTGGAGAAATAGCTTGGCTTTAAAATAGTAATGAAACAACCAAATGCAGTCTGTGAATCTTGGGTGGATCCTGATTCAAAAAAAACAAACAAAAAAAATGAAGCTAACTACATCAGGAACAACTGGGAAAACCAAATATGGAGTGATATTAAGTGATATGTAGGAGTATGATTATGACAGAAAATGTCCTTATTGCTAGAATATACATGCTACAGGACTTAAGATGAAAAGAGTCATGATGTTTGCAGCTTACTTTTAAATGATTCAGACAAATATACATACATTTACACAGAAGAAAAGTATGGCAAGGCAATAAACCGAAGAAATCCAGGTTATGTGTACTATTCCTCCAACTTCTTAGATATTGTAATATTTTCATATGAACACTTCAGGGAAAACACTCCCTTCCCCCCTCATATCCAGTGACTAACCCCACCTCTTCGCAAAACACTTCAAGAAACTTGTGTATATTCAGTCCCTCTTCTTTCCTCTTTTCTTATGAAACCACTTTAATCAGATTTTCATTCTACATTCCATGCTCCAAACTAGCTCTTAACATAAGGTCAAAAGTCACCTCTCAATATTCTTATGCAATTCACTGTTTCTAACCCAGTCATCAATCCTTCCTCAAGAGTCTCACCTTGCCTTCCAGGTGTTTTTCCTGGGCACTCCTGCTACCTTACTGGCCCAGTTTCTTTGGCTTCCTTCCCATATTCCTCCTCAATCAACAACGTCTACTTATTGGCATGTGGCAGAACTCTGTCCCCACACCACTTCTCATTAATGATCTCATCCAGGCTTCTAAATTCTATAACCTATGGACAACTCCTTTATTTATATCTCTTATCCTGGGAATCACTGAACTCCCAATTTCTATATTTACCTGTCCATTTGTTAGGGGGAAAGAATGTCCTGAATGAACTCTCTACAGATACAGGTTTTGTGGATTCCACCCCCACTCCACACACCAAAGCTACGAATCCCTCTGCTACACCAGAGGGCGGACTGCTAGGATTATTAAGCAAACATTTTGGGTTTGGGATATAAAACCAGTCCTGTTGGGCTGAGGGAGGCACAGGGAGCAGAGAGGCATGTGAAGAAACTGCATTTGCTTCTTATTCATCCTGGACTAGTTGAAACAGATGTGAGTGAGAGACCTGTGGGAAGGTTTGACTATGGCAGCATTTATCTTGATTTTGATTTTACTCTTTTCCTTCCAGACTTGTCTGGCCATTTCTGACCCTTCTCTATGGGTCCCCTCCAGAAGGTGCCTCAGACTGGTGGCGGGCTTTCAGGCCTTGCTTTGGGCCAATCCCTTTTGGGTAGACTTTTACCAACAAGGGGATACACTTGGGTGTCTGACTTAGAAACTATATTCTTTATATTTGCTGTACTGCACACTGATTAATGTATTAAAGTTCCTTTCCATTAAAGGTCTTACATGTTTTGCCTTGATGTGGCCGATGGTAGACTCTATTTTGAGCAGGCAGGTTTGGGGGCTCAGGGGTGTCTCTCTCCCTCTACAAACCCTCTACAATGTCTAATAGAATCAGAAGCTTCCTATGTCCAAAACCCCAGGAGCCAGTTCTACCATTTCGCCTCACGTAAGCCCAGCTTCATTGCAGCTCTCACATGTGGGCTGGCAAAACACACTCCAAATTGGGAAGCCTGTTCTTGTTTCTCTCACAGAAACCAGATTCACACTTAATAGCCAGTCAAATGTCCTCTGATCACTCTTCAATGTCTTCAACTCCCTCAGAGGAAAAGCCAAAGTTTCTAAGAACAGCCTGTAAATATAGTACATGATATGTAACAACTCTCCCCCCTCCCCTCCCCTCAGCTCCCAATCTCCCCTCTCCCTTGCCATTCTCTTTGGTCTTAGAATACTTTCCACAGCTCTCTGCATGAAACTAACATATAAAACACAAGTCGCCCATATTACCAACAAGCACTTCCTCTTTTTCCTGTCCTGCTTTCTTTTCCTGTGCAGCATTTAACACCTGATATACCATGTATTTGCTTCTTTATTTATTATTTCACCTAAAACTTAGTTAATACTTTTAAATATCCACTACATTAATGACATCTTTCTCAAGTTGCCAGATTAAGTTCAGTTCAGTTCATTTACTGGGTAGAATCAATTTGAAGGTAGTGGATGATTAGGTACTCACATGGGCAATGTCTCCTTTTGTGCCTATCACCCGATCTTGGGAGTGCTTACTGAACTCAACATAATGATCTTCTGTGAAGGAATGCCTACAAACAACAGAAGCATGAAAGTGACAGACTACCTAGGTTTATGTCTTCAACCAACTGAAAATAAAGATAATCCTCAGGCTCTTGCCTGACCATACTCACCTGAAGATTTTGCTCCCAAAGAGTAAATACATGCACACTTAAAATTTAAAAAAAATTCCTTCCCCTACCAGTCTGTCCAAACAAATCCAAATTAATGGACATTATCTGGTTAAAGACATGGTTAATAGAGCACATGAGTATTGAAATATGCCCCATCAAAATTCAATTGTCATGTGAATTAAAAAAATGCAAAAAAGTACAATTTTGATTAGTGAAGCATCTGCTATGTAATGTGAATGTATATACCTAGTAAGACTAAATTAAAAAAGATAAAATCCAATTAAATAGGAGCCACATAAGAGAAAGTGAGAAGTTAGCAATAATTCACAGTACCCTTCTTTTTCCAAAAGCTTTTGAGTCTAAAAATCAGATGGAGCGTATACATTAGATAAAATGGAAAATATAGAAACTAGATTATAAAAATACATACTTCATATCAAACACTGATTTCATTCCCCAAAGTGCAGACAGAGGCTGGCTCCAAGTAGCAGAGGTCAGCAGCAAGGACCCATCCTAAAAGGAAGAGGAGGCCCATGGTGGGTAACTATGTTTTTGTAGAAGTGCAGGCATCATTATCTGCCATTAACATTTTAAAATACCAGTTAAAAAAAAATATTGTTGGATTAAAGAGAAAAGAAAAACTTCAAAGAATCAAGAATGGGGGCCCTCCCTGGTGGCGCAGCGGGTTAAAGCACAGCACTGAGAATCTAAAGCCACTTCCGCATGGGTTCGATCCCCGCCTGCCCAGGAGGTGACCACATGGCGCGGCAGACCTCTCCTGACCCGCCCACTGCTCCCCTCAGCAGTGTACTTCGTAGATCTGCCTGTTCTGCTCCCTGCTCTGTCTCTGGTGAATCCTCTCACCCTCCGCATCTCTGGCCTGTACCCCAGTTCTGTACGAATAAATAAGTAAGTCTTAAAAAAAAAAAAAGAATCAAGAATAGTCAGAAGCTGATTTTCTATCTTGTATCAACAGTATCCTAAAAACTAAACTTAAGGAAATATTAAATTCTCCTGAACTAGTAACATGAAATACAACAGTTCCAAGAGTGGGGAGGAAACTGAAAAGATGGCAAAGATGGTTGGTTCCTTCTTCCTTGACATTTGACATCCTTCAGTCACCCTCATATGAAATACCAGTCAACTTAAAATTTGTTTGATTTTAAGGACTCATAATGAGCTTTCATTTAGAAAGTCCAATAAAAGGTGGGTTTTATACTCTAAAATTAGGTGATTATCCTTATCTTAATATTCCCAGCTTTTAGAAAAAGCAAAGGTGTCATTTCCATTTACAGACTAGTACTAATAAACTGCGATTCAATGGAATCATATAAAAGCTTGTTCTCAAGGGGAAAAAAACAAAACTTTCAATAAAAAAACACTTGTGACATAAAAAGTAAACTTTAATGATCATGATTGATGTCTCAGCTTCCAACTGAATTTAACACACACACACACACACACACACACACACACAACCTTACAGGGTCTCAGAATAGGGGTTAACAAACTTAAAGGGTCAAATAGTAAATACTTTCCAGTCCAAATAGTCTCTGCTGCACATACCATACCAAAGCAGCAAAGAAACTGCCATATATGCTATGAGCCTATGAGCGTGGCTGTTCTGCAATGAAAGCTATATACAAATACCAGCTGCCAATTTGCCCACAGTTCCACAATCCATCTTAAAAGGATGATTAAAACATCTAAGAGATGTTACCCTGGAAGGTTCAAGGTGTGTGATGGCTGAGTTGTGACAGTTATAGCTGGCTTCCTCCTGTCCACTAAACACATTGTAGAGCTTCAACTGCCCTGTGCAGGTGCCAAGCATCAGGAATCGCTCCCGTGCTGAGAATGCACAGCAAGTAAAGCCACTCTCATCCTCATTGGCTTCTCGAAACACTGAAATAGGCCGAAACCTAAGTAGAAAAAGAGAATCAGAGACAAAGTGCAGGGACTCAGAAAAAAAGGAAAACTTTGCTATAAAAATAATAAAAGATAAAAGAAAAAAAAAAGAGCATTTATGTTTCAAATAGGTTCTCCCAAAACATCACAGCGACTTGGTGATTCAGTTTCATTTCAAGTGAGAAAACGATCTCCACCCACAAATTTGAACAGCAGCAAAAATCCCCATGTTTAAAACTTATGACCCCACACCCTTCATGTAAGAGCTGTTAAAAAACACACACAAAAAAAAACAAAAAAACAAAAAAACAAAAAACAGGAAACAACTTGGACTAGCATCAAAAAAAAGTTTTGGGAGTTTAGTCAGGGACAGTGTGTTGCATGGATTCTAGAAAACATGCTAGTTGTAACAAAAACACAGAGTATCATATTTCAATATATTGTCAAGGATCACAGAAGAGCCCATGGTTGATAAAAGGGGTTACATTGCTCATGTATTCATAGAGAGAGACCATCTTTGGTATTTGAGGCCAACAAATGGCTTTCTGGACTAATCATTCCATGCTTATATGGACTTAACACCCTGACTTAGAAGAATCATTCCAATCCCCAGGAATAGTGAGGTGGCCTCTCCTTACCTGCTAAAGATAAGGTGCCTATCAAAGCATCCGCCATCCACCCCTCCATACTTTGGAAATGATGCCCTGCGGTTTAGCCTTGAGGTAAAGTTTATTGGCGCTTGCCGCCTCTGTTTTGGCTCAGGACATTGGTGAGGAGTAAAGAGAGAGAAAGGAGGACAGGTGGCAACTGGGTTCTTGCAGCGAGCATGCTGCTCTCTAAGATATTCTGTTATGATACTGTCCAGCGTAGGTGGGGAAGGAAGATGTCTGTCCAACTGCTTTTTTATGGCTGGGCTTTGGCTGTAAGCGCCATGGTCCGATTTCTGCCGCAACACTCTGATTTTCCTGCCATTGCAGGGTGATGGCCTCTCTCTGATAAAACTGATCCTACCAATCAAAGGAGAACTGCCTGCATAAGACGGGCCAGGCAAAACTAGTGAACTCTGGGGAGGCCGAGGCTGAGGATGGGCAGTAGGGGCAGAAGGGGCAGAAGGACCCACAGCAGCATGACTGCCCAGTCGAGTTGCAATGCCATTGGCGATGCGAGGAGTTCTGGGAAGAGAGACAGGAGAAGCAGCAGCAGTGACTGGGGTGAAGGCAGAAGAATGTGAGGCAGCAGTCATAGGCAAGTCAGCCTCCTTAGTTAGCACAGTTGCTGTCTCCCCCAGCCCTTTAGAAATAAGATGGTTTCGTATCAGCAGAAGCAGTTCTTTTTCAGGGAAGGAGATCCTTGACTGGGCAACAACATCTGCTTTCTGCAGCCTTGCCAGGGACACATCAGTGCCGATGAGAAGTGGCTTTCCTGATACCCGCTCAATGAGCTCAGCGGCATACTTGCAGAACTTGACATGGTCACTGCGCTTGTCCTGCAGCACAGGCTCCTTCATCAGCTGTTGGATTTGGCAGCTACTGAAAAGAGGCAGTTTGCTGATGATCTGCCGGACAGTGCTACTACGAGACAGGCCCACAAGGGCCTTGCAGGCCAGGGCCCGGATCTGGTCTGCATCTGTAATGGGCATCTTGATGGACAATAAGGACAGAAGCACCTTGATGCCATTGTTGGACTGAACCACATTCCACATCTTGGCCAGGGTGTGCTCACTACTTTTTGGAGTTTGAGGCAGCTTTCTCCGAGGAGTTCCAGAAATAAATTTGCCAATACTGGAAATTCGGTTATCTGGACCACATACACAATTGATGATAATTTGAAGTGCTGACTTCTGAATTTCAGCATCATGGATAAAAAACTCACCCTCCGCCACTCCCAAAATAATGCTGATACCTATTGAGGGAAAAAGACATTCCTCATAAGACTAGTGGCCAACTTTAACATTTGTTCCAGAGCCAAAAGGTAGAGTTCTATTCATTCTGCTCCAATCTGAGTTACTTGCCCATTACTGACTTTGTCAGTGTCTGATTACAAAGTTAATTTTTTTATTGTCTGCTCCAACCCATTTTCTTATAAATCTTATGTTAGCCCAAGACTCTACAGAGCACAGTCTTCAGGTGTGCACCTGTACCACTCAGAATGAAATTGTAAGGCATAACTGACAAGAGACAAAGTATCGTCCTTACTTACCTCTACTCCTCTAATATTACAATATAGGGCCACCTAAGTTAGCATGGTCAGAATAGCTAAGGAAAACAAATCCAAACCAAACAACAAAAACATCAAGTTACAACCTACCTACGGTGGAGACAGTGGAGCCAGCCTCATCCAGAACGTCCACTGATTCTGCTAACTGGAGCTGGATTTTTGGCACAACAGTGAGAATAGCCAGGACATCCAAAGCAAAGCGCACAGTGTCATTCCTGAATAGGAAAAAGAATTAGTCAAAGAAACTAGGATTTGGCCACAAGAAACAAAAACAGCTAAAAATAAGGGAAAGAGATACAATGATCATAGCCCCTACCTGTACAGCTCTGTCCCTAGCCATGTAAATCACTGTGACACTACTTTCAAAACACGTCAAGGTAGAATTTTCATCTATCACATTAAGATTAAAATCAAAGGCTAATGGGGCCCTCCCTAGTGGCATAGTGGGTTAAAGCACAGAACTAAGAAGCTAAAGCCACTTCCACATGAGTTCGATTCCCACCTGCCCAGGAGGTGATGCACATGGCACAGCAAACCTCTCGGGACCCACCGCTGCTCCCCATAGCAGTGTACCTTGTCATTCTGCCTTTTCTGCTCCCCACTCTGTTACTCTGTTTCTGGTGAATCCTCTTACTGCCCCTGCACCTCTGACCTGTACCCCAGTTCTGTATTGAAAAAATAAATCTTAAAAAAAAAAAAAAAGGCTAATCCCCAAATGCTGGTAAGTGTGTACACAGACAAATACTTTTGGTAGCAGACATTAAGATATTATTTTTAGAACATTATCTGGAAAAACAAGATAATTATTTTTGTTAATAACCTTTGGTCTAGGAATTTCACCTGCAAGAATGTGTGCTCACATTCCTAATGAGTTTATTACACTTGCTAGTATAGGCTAGTATTTATATATTAAGGTGCCCATTATCTCATCATTTAAAAAAGCAAAATTAGAAAATCTAAATAAGTAACATACATGCACTAAACTATGGAACACTGATGAAATATTCTACAGCCATCAATGGTTGTTTTCAAAAAAGTCTAAAGGATAGGTAAAAAACTCAAAATATAACACTAAAAGAAGAAACGGGGCCCTCCATGGTGGCCCAGTGGTTAAAGCACAGCACCATTAAGCTATCTGCAGCCACTGCAGAATGAGTTTGATCCCCAGCCAGGGAGCTGACCCACATGGCACAGCAGACCTCTCCTGACCCATCTGCTGCTCCCCTCAGCAGTTTATCAGCAGAATATCTGCCTGTTCTGCTCCCCTCTGTCTCTGGTGAATCCTCTTACCTCCCACACCTGTGGCCTATACCCCAATTCTGTATGCATTAAAAAAAAAAAAAAAGGCATAGCAATACGAAGCTAGCTGCAGCTGCTAGAACACAAGTTCGATCCCCTGCCAGGCGCAGCAGACTCTCTTGTCTCACTGCTCCCCTCAGCAGTGTACTTCATCAATCTTCCTGCACTGTTCCCCGCTCTATATCTGGTAATCTTCTCACCAACCCTGCACCAATGGCCTGTACCCCAGTTCTGTATGCATCAATAAATCTTTAAAAAAAAAAAAAAGAAGCTAAGGGCCTCCTTGGTAGTGCAAAGGGTTAAGTCTCAGCACTATGAGGCTATTCGCAGTCACCATAGCAGCACAGCAGCAGGAGTTCAATCCCCAGCCAAGAAGCTAACCCACATGGTGAAGCAGACCCCTCTTGTCTTGCCGCCTGCAGTATATTTCCATCAACTGGCCTGTTTTGTTCCCCACTCTGTCTCTAATGAATCCTCTCACTGCCCCCCACACCTTAGACCTATGCCCTAGTTCTTGTATACATAAATAAATCTTTAAAAAGGAAAAAAAAAGTAAAATTTTTCAATTTTATATCTGATTTTACCAAGTATTGGCATGAAAGCTGCTAGTGAGAAAACATTATGATCATTTTCTGAGTATTTGGCATTCAATAAAGATAAAATGCAGATACCCTAAAATCCAGGTACTACGTATCATATACTGTATAATATCAAAGATAATGTCTGTATAGATACAAATATGTATAATATAAAAACCTATACTTCAAATTCAGAAGATTAGTCACTCAAGGAAGGCAGAAAAATAAAAGGAATTGAAAAAAGCAAATACAAAAAATATCAGCCTTGGGAAAGAAATAGCTTTATACAGTTCTTTTTTTTTTTAAATATTTCATTAAAAATATTAGTTTGGTGATTCAAAAAGATACCTGCACCCCCTTGTTTAATGCTGCTTTATTTACAATTGGAAATACATGGAAACAGCGCAAATGCCCAAAAGGGGATAACTGGATTAAAAAGATGTACATATACAGAGTGGAATATTACTCAGCAACCAAAAATAATAAACATATGCCTTTTGCAGCAACATGGATAGAGCTGGAAAAGATCATGCTTATGAAAGAAGCCAGAAAGAAAAGGAAAAATACCAGATGGTTTCACTCATAGCAGGAATATAGTGGGCTAGGCAAGAAAATAATAACAACATGAACAGCTACAGACCAGGGAGATTTTATGGGCGTGGAGTGGGAGTGGGATAAAAACAGTGGGGGGAGAGAAATGCACTGGACTATGGTGATGGCACATGGGTAATTTAGTGATGGGAAGTCCAAGGGCATTTCAACTGAGATGGAAAAATGCACAAAGTGATGTAAAAATAAACGATTATATTATTTTTAAAAATAATAATAATAAAATATGTATTAGTTTGGGGCCCTCCCTGGTGGCTCAACAGGGAGCTCAGCACTGCAAAGCTAGCTGCAGCTGCTTCAGCATAAGTTCAATCCCCAGCTGAGCACAAGACACAGTATCTCGCCTATCTCGCCTCCTGCTCCCCTCAGCAGAGTATTTCAGTCATCCTCTCAGCCCCTGTATCTCTGGCGTGTACCCAGTCCTGTATGCATAAATAAATAAAACTTTTTTAAAAAATAATTAATTAAATGCTAATAGCTCAATTGTGTGTAGTGTATGTAACAGAAAGAGTATGATGAAATTAGTAAGTATCAAAATAATTTTCTTTCATTTCGATATATTCTAAGCAGAAACAGGTACTTAATTTAAAAAAATTAAGTTTTAAAGAACATTTTCTAATCATTTATGCTTTACTAGTCCAAATAAGCATTTTAATAAGTTTAAAAATGTACTTAAAACTTCCTAGTTATCTTTTGAGCTTGCACCTTTTAAACAAAGTTCTCCAAGCAAATACAGTGACTACTCTAATACCAAAACATGGTGATTTCTGAGACCCTTTCAGAAGTCCTGTAACAAAAATTAGTTTCATAATACTAAGATTCTGTGTTCACTTCTCACTCTCATTAGAAGAGGATAAGGTGGCATTTTTTAGATACCATATGATGTGATATCACAGATGATTGAACACAAAGGTACAGATGACATTTATTAAAGAAGCCAGACATTTTTAAAAATGAAATCATTTGATTTTGGAAATTTTCCATTTAAAAAAAGCTAACATCATTGGACTCATGTTATTTTTAAATAAATTCGTAAATATTTCTTCATTTTCTTATTCTCAATTTCTGATATGGTAAATATTATTAGGTATAACACAAAAACAAAGTTCTTTGGGGTTCTCAATTTTTAATACAGTACAAGGGTTCAAGAGAAAAAGGTTGAAAATGGTTGTTCCCTAAGTATCCTTCTAGATTTATTATCCTTGATTTAGCAAAGAAGCTACATGCCACCACACCCTAAAAAAAGTCCATGTTTTCTGAAAGCACCCCAAATGCCCAAAAGTAGATGACTGGATTAAAAAGATGTGGTACAAAAAAAAGAAACACATGTCTTTTGCAGCAACTTGGATGAAGTTGGAAAAGATCATGCTTAGTGAGATAAGCCAGAAAGAAAAAGAAAAATACCGGATGGTTTCACTCATAGGAGTATAATGGACCAGGCGAGAAAATAATAAGAATAATGAACAGCCATATACCAGAGACATTTTGTGGGGGTGGAGTGGGGAATGGGATCAAAAACGGTGGGGGGAGGGACGTGCACTGGACTATGGTAATGGCCCATGGATGACTTGGTGATGGGGAACCCAAAGGGATTACAATTGAGATTAAAAAAAGTACAAAATGATATAAAAATAAACTATTATAAAAAAATAAAGTCCATGTTTTCAAAGTAGTGGGCAAATAGCAAAAGCAAGAGAAGAGCCACTACTTATTAACTGTCTTACTATCTTCTCTACACATTACATCTTTTCTAAAATAGTTCTGTTTTTACCACTATCTTTTAATAATATTCATTTAATCCCCTGGTTCTATCAGCTGTCTTTTTCTTAGCCACACCAAGCTGTGCTGATTGCTTTTAAATGAACTGCAAATATCACATATACAGCAAAAAAGAGCTTTATGGGAAAGATAAACATTTAAAGTGTCAGTCCCACAGAATAATGGACCCTAGTCTCAAGACACAATTTCAACCCTACCTCTGCCATTATAACCATGTACATTATGTAACTGCTCTAAGAATACATATGAAGACCCCTACCTATGGTGCAATATTTATAATCTCCAAGATCGCAAACATAAACATTAAACATAGCGTGCTTAATCTCATTTTTCAGATCCAATCCAAAATTTCAAATCAGTTCAATAAATGTTTAAGTGTACACTATGCATTAACCAATATCAACTTTAGCAAAAAAACAGAATCTAATTTCATTTGAAATCTTTTTTCTGAACCCACCTTGCATAATAAGTCTTCCAATTGCAGGCAATAGAAATAAGTTGCAGTAAGAGTTGGACACAAGAAAGTTTGAGGAAGACTTCAGCTGGTTCCCAATAAAGCTGTGCTGGGCCATATTCTATCAAAAACTCCATCATTTCCACAATCTGTTCATGAGTATACGAACATGCCTATAAAGAGAAATTTATTAAAGAACTCTTACCATCTGCCTGTTACCTTCTCATTACCTTCTCCATAAACAGAGCATATGGACCAAAAGTTTTCATAATAAAGTAATAACAGTTTTCAAATCCCACATTCTTAAGTCAAACAGTCCATTTGTGAAATAATGAGTATATGTTTAATCTTTCATCTTCTTTATAATTAAACTCACTACATTTATCAAAAAAGATAAATGTTCAGTATGTTAGTACACATATTTCACAGCTTTAGCAGAGAAAAAAAAAGCATCACAGAAAATAGGTCTTTTCAATTTGAGGTTTTCAAAACATTCAGATACTAACCTTTGACTTAAAACATATCAAGTAAGATCAGAAATGATAGAGAAGAGGAATCAGAAATATATCCTTTCAAAAAAGAAATCTCATACAAATGGAGGCAAGCTGTATTTTTCATAAAGCCCTTTTACTCACACTTCAGTTTCTCTTTCAGTTCTAGTATCCCAAGTAGCAACTTACAATTGACAAAAGTCCTTGAAATTCACCTATTATATCCATTTTCAAGTATTCTGTCTCCACACAGGGTAAAGATAATCCAACAGTGTACTCAACTGTATAATCTGCAGTCTCCACAGATCTGAAGGTAAATTTTAACAGCTATGTTAATAACTTTCCCTTTTGAGACAATTCACTCACCTTGTAAGGGGGCTGAGGATGGACAAGAATACCCCCTTCAGTCCTCTGAAGTGACTGCTTCACTTGTTCCAATTTAATAGCCAGGTGAGCTTCAAAGTACTTGCGCAAAGCCATGCAGGTATGTTTCCCAGTTTGACGGCTAGCAAATATTTCATCATCACTCAGTAGTGCACCCTGATCTTCCAAATTTAGAATCTCCAAAGTACTGATCTATTAAGAAAGAGGCAAAAGGATGGGGCACAAGAGGGTACAGATATATATGTGAGAACACACAGGAATAAATAAGTAAAAAGGTTTTGGTAAAGTGAACAAGACAGACACAATGACGTATGCAATGTACTAAAAGTGGTAGCATGAAAGCAAAACATTAAACCCACTTGCAAAGTTAAAGAGCTTTCAATCATGTTGAAAGATAAAGAGGCACAAAAACCATTACTTTTAGGAAGATCAAGATTGACAGCAAATTTTCCTGGGATTACTATATACAAGGCCAATCTACAGTGGCATCTTTACCCATTTGTGAATGAATGCAGGGGGGAGAAAAAAGACTTTGCCTCAAAGAATAATTGCAGGGCCCTCAGTAAAGCATAGCACTGTGAAGTTATCGCAGCCACTGCAGCACAATCTCTGGCCAGGGAGGTAACCCACATGAGTCACCTGTCCCGTCCCACCCACTGCTTCCCTCAGAGCAGTGTATTTTAGTCAACCTGCCTGTTCTATTCCCCACTCTGTCTGGTGAATCTTCTCTCACCCCCTATACCTCTGGCCTATACCCCACTTCTTGTATGCATAAATAAAACATGTCCTTTAAAAAAAAAAAAAAATATATATATATATATATATATATGAAAATTCCTCCAATCAACAGTTTCTGAAGGGCAGTAAAGGCAAGGACCCTTACACTTCACAAAAAAAGTCATTGGAGAACCTCACCAAGTTGACCAGACGACGAAGACCATCATATCGGTCAAAGAGCTCCAACACAGCCCGGAACGAGAAGCAGATTGAAAAAAACATGGTAGCATGACAGCATCCTGAGGCATGAGAACATTCCATTAACCACAGGGTATAGTTCACCACATCAGACAAAACATTGTGGGGATGCATGCATACCTGCAAAAAAGATTAAAAAATTAAACATAATTTTTAAAAATTGGGGCAAGAAAACCTTTGACAAGAAGAAAAATTCACCAATAAGGCCTTGCTGGTGGCGCAGGGATTAAATCTCAGCACTATCAAACTATCCACAGTCACTGCAGCCAGGGAGCTGACCCACATAGTACAGCAGACCTTCTCATGTCTTATCCACTGCTCCCCTCAGCAATGTATTACAGTACAATCACCTGTTCTGTTCCCCTGACTCTGCTGAATCCTCTCACCCCTACCCCCACACCTCTGGTCTACACCCCAGCTCTTGTATGCAAAAAAAAAAAAAAAAATCCTTTAAAAAAAAGTTGTTAAACCTTATATACAAATGAAAAAAAAAATAACCGGTATAAAAATTAGCTTACAAAATACAATGGTCACTCCTTATAAAGTCATTTAAAGCTTAAACAACTTAATATTTAAATTCAACATATACTTAACATAGTGCCAAGTTGTATAAATGTTTAGATCCTTTAATGCTTCAATGCTCTTATGTAAGTACTGGGACTCCCACTTAGTGGAAGAGCAAGAGGTCTACAGAGAGGTAAGGGATTTCCTCAAGGTACTAAAAAGTGGCTGAGTCTTCTGCTTCTACAATCTACAACTCCAGTATCCATACACTCAGTGATTCAGTCACACACACTCTGATGCCTCCTATGCTCAGACAATGAATTCTAAAGCATTCCCTGTGATTCTTTGGTGTCTTTTATTCTTTCATAGCCATAATCAGTATTGTACATATACTCAGATTAGATTACCATTCTCAAAAGACCACAAACCCTTGTTGATAATGTTCATCTTGAGGAAAATAATTTTTTTAATCAAAAATCATCTCCCTAGGGATATCAAGGTACTTTTCAAATGTATAATCCATTTACATTTTTTTAAATCACTAAGTAAAAAAAGTATTCAAAAGAAAAATAGAACCACCATGGGCCCTCTCTGGTGGAGCAACCAGTTAAGGTGCAGCACTATGAAACTATCTGCAGCCACTGAAGCACAAGTTCAATCCCTGGTCAGGGAGTTGACCAACATGGTACAGCAGTTATCTCCTGTCCAGCCCACTTCTCCCCTCAGCAGTGTACTTCAGTCTGCCTGTTCTGTCCCCCACTCTGTCTCTGGTGAATCCTGTTACCCGCCACAACTCTGACCTGTACCCCAGTTCTTATGTGCATAAATAAGTAAGTCCTTAAAAGAAAAAAAGAAAAACAGAAGAACCAGATAGGGAATCTTTTGAGTTCCAAGAACAACTGAATGAATAACTATTTCTATCATAAACTATTTGTAAACATACACAAAACTATCACCTGTTGCTTTTATAATAGGTTGACATAAAAATGCAAACTATATACACAGAGTTCAAGTGCTGGTATTTGGCTTGGTTCTGGCAGTTTGTGGGCTTTTTGTTTGTTTTGTATTTCACCTGAATGAATCATAAAGTATTCATTTTTCTCCTTCTGACTTGTGTTACTTATTAATTCACTAGTTCTACCCGTATTTTAGCAAATGGCAAGATTCCACCTTCTTTATAACTAAGTAGTATGCCACTGTGTGTGTGTGTGTGTGTGCGTGCACGTGTACAGGTCTTTTTCGGTTCATCGGTCCTGGGGCACACAGGTTGTGACCATAATTTGGCTGTTGTAAACAGTACTACAATGAACACAGGAGTGCATATTTCCCTTTGAATTAGTGTTTTTGTATTCTCTAGGTAGATACATGGGAACAGAATTGTTGGATCATGTAGTTAATGGAGAAACCTGTATTTTTTAAATGTGTTTATGAAGGTAATATCTTTAACAGGTAACTGATAAGCCAAAATATTCAAATAAATGATTACAATAAAAAAAAATGCAACTATAACTGCACTGAAAAACATCTGAAAAGAGCCTGAATTCTAATCCTGACACAACAGAAAAGGCCTTAAAAAAGTTCAGCTTTTTTTTTTACAGACAGGAGGGGAAAAAAGACCTAAACAATTTAACATTTTTAGAATGCTTTGTGAAGATCAAACATTCATGTTCCTTGCTTCCTGCATTAAATTTACTCCAACTATTCATCTTTTCCTCACCCAGTCCCATTCCTATATACCTATCTGGACTAACTTACTCTTTCCATTGCATCTTGGTTGTAGGAAAGATAATACAAGCACATGGATACTCCAGTTGCAGCCATAGAAGGACGAGGAATTTCCAGTAATTTCTGTACTCCACCATGAGCAACAAATTCTGTGGCAAACTTATTATGGAGCAGGAGAGATGCTAGATGCTAAACAAAAAGAACACATATTACCACGGAACAATCTAGAACAATCACACAAGCTCTTCACAAATTATGAAACTGCTAAATACAAAGTTTTTCAAGGAAGACAACTACTCCCTCAACAGAAAGAAAACCAATATTGCTGGGTCTCCCTTGTGGCACAGGGGTTTGAAGCTCTTGCCAGCCACAGCTACATGAGTTCAATCCCCAACCAGGGAGCTAACTCACATGGAGCAGTAGACATCTGCTGTCTCAAATGCTGCTCCCCACAGCAGTGTATTTCAATAAATATGCCTATTCTGCTCCCCACTTTTTCTTTGGTAAATTATCTCACCTCCCTCCCACACACTACTGGCCTACACCCCAGCTCTTGTATGCATAAATAAATCTTGGGAAAAAAAAGAATTTTTCATTTATTACTATTTTAATTGACAACAGAAATGCCCTGAGCAATAAAACCCAGAGCTATACACTAAAATGCATAGGTACTTCCCAGTCAGGAAAATGCTCCATGACCTAACATTTTTAATAACTTTTACCTTGAGTGCCTCAAATGTAAGCAAGACATCATTTGTTTGTTTCAAGTCAATATAGAACATCATCAACTCCCGTGATCCAAGTTGCATGAATATGGGAAGTAACTGAAATGAAAATCAAAACAAGTTTAACATTTGGTTTTACTTTCACTTCTTATTCCTTTATAAGGACAGAATATTAGAGAAATGAAGATAAATATAACAACACACTTTGATCAAATCAGTCTTATCAGAAGTGATGTGCATAAGACTTCATTAGGAATTTGAGGTAAGAAAAATTTCTGTATTAGAGTAAAAGCACATTAATGTACAAAATGCTACCAATCAGATATCCAGAAATAAACACAGTAGTCCCAATGTGGGAACATTATTCTCCAATAAGCTTACCTCCTGATATTCTCCTAGAGGGGTCAAATATTGAAGAATAAGTCGCTGCTCAATAGCAGGAGTCATAGGATAAAGGGTATAATTGGTGCCAATCACCCAGGGGGACATTTCTGACCAGCTGCTATTAGATAGCTCAACAAATATGCGATCTGGTTCAGATGACGAGAAACCCAACTTCTGCTTAGCTTTCCTAAAGCTCTCCCTGTCACCCTGCCTTGCTGACTTATTTTTTCTCAATCTTCCTTCCTCAGGTTTGATTGCTGAGTTCACTCTGCTACTGGTCTTGTGGCCTGAATCAAGATGGAAGGATATCTCCATATCTCCAGAGGCTTCTTCTTGTTCACCATCCACTACTACATCTACAGCCATATCACCATAGTCCATATCCACAGCTTCTTCATCCAGAGGCAAAAGGGGTTCAGATGACAGCTTTCGTGGGCTGGGTCTCTTGCTTTCTTGCCGCAAAGCCACTTCCTGAAGCTGCAGTTCCCTCAGTCTTCGAAGCACTATTGCTACCTTTCAATAGACAGTGAAATATAAAAGGTGTTACCATTCTTGCATCACAATTTAAGTGACTCTTAATAATTCCTATTTCCATTTAAGAAGAACTCTATATTCTTGCAGTTATCCCAATAACAAATAGTTTATGATTCCTGTAACTTGATGAAATTAACAATGGTGATTTCTCCTTTAATCAACTCCTTTAATCAGTTAATTAACTCCTTTCCCATAAAATTTCCCAGAGAAACCAACCAGAAGATTTACACATGAAAACAAATCTTTCACAATTGATTTCTCTGGATCAAACTGAGCTAGAATATCACACTTAAAAGGCAGAAACTACATATATTCATAATTTTAAGAATGTGTGCATGAAAATCAAATACAGTTGTTCAAACTCATATCCTAGTTGCATGTTGTTATATACATTATATATAATTATATATTTTTCAGGTTCTTTTATCTTCTAGTTTTTCTAAGTTTTTTTTTTTTTTAAAGATTTATTTATTTATGCATACAGAACTAGGGCACAGGTCAGAGGTGCAGGCAGGGTCGGTGAAAGGATTCACCACAGTCAGGGCAGGGAGCAGAACAGACAGACAAAGTACACTGCTAAGGTGAGCAGCAGGTGAGACAGGAGAGATCTGCTGTGCCATGTGGGTCACCCCTCTGACCTGGGATCAAACCTGTGTCACAGTGGCTATGGATAACTTCACATTACTGCGCCTTAACCCACTGTATCACCAAGGAGGACCCTAAGTGTTTGTTTGTTTTTTAAGGATTTATTTATGTATACAAGAACTGGGGTATAGGCCAGAGATGTGGGAATTGAGGATTCACCAGAGATAGAGTGAGGAACAGAACAGGCCAACTGACAGAAATACACTGCTGAGGAAAACAGTGGGTGCAATAGGAAAGGTCTGCTGCACCATGTGGATCAGCTAGCTGGCTGGGGATTGATCGAGTGCTGTAGTGACTGCAGATAGCCTCACAGTGCTGTGCTTTATTCCCCTGTACCACTAGAGGCCCCTAAATGTTTATTTTTTGAGTTAACCTAAAATGTTGTTAGTCTGATATTTTTAAGGAATTATGTCTGCAATTTACTTTGACCTGCATTTAAAAAAAAACAATGAATTGGTTAAGTGGATAGAAGGAAGCAGGAATGGCTGGGGGACTATATATTAAAATAAGTACAATAAATTATTATCTTTAAGAGGCACATACAGCTGTTCAATGTAAAATGCTTTCAATTTTGCCATATGTTTAAAATTTTTCATAATTCAAATTTGGTTGAGGCAAAACAAATGGGACTATTCTTTTTTTAAAGAATATTTTGAAGATTTATTTTATTTATTTATGCATACAAGAACTGGTGTGTAGGACACGGTTGGGGGGAGGGGAAGGTTAGAGGATTGACCAGAGACACAACGTGGAGCAGAACCAGGCAGATCTACTGAAATACACTGCTAAGAGGAGCAGCGGGCAAGACAGGAGAGGTCTGCTGTACCGTGTGGGTGAGCTCCTCAGCTCGATAGCACTGAGACTTGAGCCCCTGTGCCATCAGGGACACCCAGCAATATTCTTTATATTACATAAACTATTGTGTTTGTCAAGATAAGCACCTATTTTCATGTTTTACAAAAGCTAAATTGTGCTCTTATGAAAATCTAGAAATGTTGAAATTAAAACTATATTCTAAGGTAAGTAATATGTAATAATAAAACATTCCATCTACCAAGAGCAGAATATTATACATTCTTTTCAAATACACAAGGAACATTTTCCAAGAGAAACCATTAATGTTAGGTCACAAAACAAGTATTAATAAATAAAAAAAGACAGAACTCTGAGCCCTCCCTGGTGGTTCAGCAGGTTAAAGCACAGCACTAAAAAGCTTAATCCACATCAGCATGAGTTCGATCCCTGCCCCAGACGTGATTCACATGGCGTGACAGACCTCTCCTGACCCACCCACTGCTCCCCTCAGCAGTATACTTTGTTGATCTGCCTGTTCCGCTCCCCGCTCTGTCTCTGGTGAATCCTCTCACCGCCCTTGCACCTCTGGCCTGTATCCCAATTCTGTATGCATAAATAAAACCTTAAAAAAAAGGAAATAACTCTTACAGATAATCATTTTTAATCACCATGTAGCACCATGTGCTAATTAAACTCTACCATTGAAGTTCTTATTTCATGTAAAAATTCATTCTAACATGGTCCTTACCAGTTGCGAATTTTCATCCCTATAGTTTGCAGCAATGTCTTGATTTTCCATAGCACCTCCTAACAGTCCAGTAGAATATGTCCTCAGTGGCTGATCAGCTTCTCGGGCCCATTTGAAAAGATTCTCAACAATTCCTTCCTATGGTAAAGGAAATGAACACAGTTTTTAAAAAGGGAATCCATTTTCATAATTAAAGATATAAAAGATTTCAGTCTTGTGAAAAAGATTTTTAATAAAATACTTCAATGTTGCTCATAAGATTAAAAATGCCAAGTATTCATTGTAGATGGTTTAGTTAAATAAACCCCACATCTGTGAGATAATTCTATTTAGCCATTAAAACTCAAAACTAGGCCCTTTCTGGTGGTGCAGCAGGTGAAAGCACTGCACTAAGCTGAAACCACTTCCACATGTGTTCGATCCCCGCCTGCCCCGGAGGTGACCACATGGCTTGGCAGACCTCTCCTGACCCGCCCGCTGCTCCCCTCAGCAGTGTACTTCATCGATCTACCTGTTCTGCTCCCCGCTCTGTCTCTGGTGAAGTCTTTCGCCACCCCTGAGTCTCTGGCCTGTACCCAGTTCTGTATGCACAAATAAATCTTTAAAAAAAAAACAAAAACTCAAAACTAAAGATAAACTACACCAAAAGGTTCCATGACCAAGTGGAAAGCACTAAATATGCTATACCCTTCTTTGAAGTTCACAATACACAATTAAAATCAATGGTCTGTGAAATCCTCCATCAAAATAGTGTTCAGGTCCACATATCCTAAACTTACTTTGCTAGCTTTTATTATGAAATACAATACAAATAAACATACATAGTGTACTCAAAGAAAGTAACAATCACCTATGAGCTACTCCCAAGCTTAAGAAATATAAACCTCCCATGTATTTATTTACCTTCTGGCCCATAAACCAAGGTAATCTACATTCCTAAAAACTTGAACTATTTTCTTGTTAAACTTTTGTTAAATGTTATAAGCTATGAACTCTATAAATTGCACTGTACTGTTTATCAATTCCTATAACTTGTTTCTTTACTCAACATTACATTTTAATTAGCATAGTTAATTTTAAAAAACTGATTTTTCACTAACATAAAAATCAACCAAAGACAGACTTTATAAATAGTTAAGTTATAATGAAGTAAATACTATAGATGCAGAAAAAGAAACTAATTAACAATTAAGCTAAGTAATTCAAGGCATTATTATTTCCAGCCTAATATACAATATCCTTGAATAATTTTATTTCACCAAATTTAGGAGAAATTAAGTATTAACAGTGAAAACTGTTCCAGAAAATTTTATTATTCAAAATGTTTTGAGGTTTCTGAAATCCAGAGTATTCACTTCATTTTAAAAATAAAACCATAAAGAACCAAAGGTGATTTTTCCATTATACAATGACAACTTATACAAAGTACAGTAAAATCACCTACAATCTTCTATAAGTCTTGCATATAGATATACACTGTCATCCTGGTTTTTGAAAAAATAGATTTTTTTGGTTTTTTTTGGTCTCTAAAGGTGGCAACTAGCTGAAGATTTTTAAATATAGTCTGTATACAATATTGTAAATTATAGGATTAATTATTCTTTAAAATACTTTGTGGAGGCCCTCCCTGGTGGCGCAGCGGGTAAAAGCACTGCACTAAGAAGCTTAAGCCACTTCCGCATGAGTTCGATCCCCGCCTGCCCCGGAGGTGACCACGTGGCGGGGCAGACCTTTCCTGACCCGCCCGCTGCTCCCCTCAGCAGTGTACTTCATCGATCTGCCTGTTCTGCTCCCCCCTCTGTCCCTGGTGAATCCTCTCACCCTCCGCATGTCTGGCCTGTACCCCAGTTCTGTATGAATAAATAAATAAATCTTTTTAAAAAAAATACTTTGTGGCACAATTCTATAATTTTCCTAAAGATTAAATAAAAATCTATTTCCAGATATTTTCATTTGGTTTATACATCTCAGAACATTCTTAACATACTTAAAAACAAAAAAACATATGTGGCACACCCAATTCACACAGCTAATTCTTAATGCTGAGACATAAATCTTTATTACTTTTAAAATACTGCAACTAACTTTTGATAGTTGAAGTATACACATATTCACTACCATTTTCTGGTTTTCAGAAGACTTATCTTATTTGTAATTATCAGTTTACATGTGCCTACCCTCCCAAACACATACATGAATTTAAGCTCCTATTCTGCTAACAAAATATTCCCAGTACTTAAGCATAAAACACAGAACAAAACAGGTCTTCATTTATTAACTAAATGAATTTAACTATGATCAATAAAAGGGGCTTTCTCAGAGTAGTAAGTCTTTTACAGTGATAGAGACTCAGGAAGAATGAGTTTGCAGGAGATCACAGCTCCATTCTTAAAACATGTAATCTTAAGATTTCAAAAGCTGTAACAGCACCCAAGTAGCCAACACTCATTAAAATAGTTCTTAAATGTTCCTTATTGTTTGACATGACTTCTTAAACTTCTCAACATTTTACTGTAACATTTTAATAAACACAAAGAGATGACCACTGAATTAAAAGAAAGATGACTATTCTTTTTTGTAGTAATTACCTTTTCTTGAAAGACAACAGCAGTTTCTAGCCCAGGCATGATGTCCAGGAGGAGTCTACAAGCTGCAGTGTTTAAAGGGGGCTCTCGGCTTGTCATCACATATGCATTCACCAGCTGTAAAGAAGGTATACTTTTCATCTGAAATTCAAGCTAGTCAAATTAATGAAGTCTAGTAAATCCTTAATATATTCCCAGAGCTTGCCTAAAGAATATTAAAGAAGACTGTGCCCAGCACTACATATTAAACTTTTATTATAAATAGTTATGATCCTAGGCCCTCGATTGTGGCAGAACAGGTTGAAGTGCAGCACTATGAAGCTAGACACAGCAGACCTCTCCTGTCTCACCCCCTGCTCCCTTCAGCAGTGTGCTTCATCAATCTGCAATCTGCCTGTTTTGTTTCCCCACTATCTCTGGTGAATCCTCTTATCACCTCTACAAGTTCACACAAAGGGTATCACAAAGAAATCACTTCCAACCTTCATATATACTTTTTCAGAAAGATAAAACAAAAGCAGAATAAAGTCCACACGAGTCTTAAAATTGGTTAATAACAAAAACTTTAGTTTTTAATTATATATACATTATTTATAACATATAACAATAGTAACATTAATAAATCTCTCTTTTTGTCATTCAAATACTTTATGAATCACTACTACTGAAAGGCACTGTGTTCTGTGCTGGAATACAACGGTGAATAAGACATCAGTTGTGCAAGGGATTAAGATGCAGCACTATGAAGCTATCTGTGGCCATTGCAGCTAGGGTTTGATATGCAGACAGGGAAGTGATCCACACAGTACGGCAGACCTCTCCTGTCTAGCCGATTGCTCCCCACAACAGTATATTTCAGTCAATCTGACTTTCTGCTCCCCACTGACTCTGGTGAATCCTCTCACCCCATCCCCTGTACCTCTGGCCGGTACCCTAGTTTTGTATGCATAAATAATAAACTTTTAAATAAATAAATGTATAAAATCTTTTTTTAAAAAAAGGTTCATAATCCAACAGAGATGACTGCTGGGAGAATTAACTACAGAATGCTACAGAAGCATTCTGGATGGATGTGTAGGAAGCCACATATCCATTTCAAAAGAATTAGGAAAGGGTTTAAAGCAGAAGGATTACAAATTAAAACATAAAGAACAAAAGTAGAAGTAGCTAAGGGAGAGCAGAAAGGAGATAAAGGCAAGAACTGAAAATTGAGAGAACAAAGGCCAGTAACAGGTTGAGTTTATATACCAAACTAAGGAAATGTATCCTGAGCACAATGGGAGACAAGAAAGGGATTTAAAGAAGAGGATACCATGATCACTTTTTGTGTTTTAGAAAGATTTCTAGGTTTTGAAGTGGGTTGGAGAAGTACAAAATAATAAGAAAAACCTGTGAAAAGACTATTACAGTAACCACGACAGAAATTGGACTGGTTAAACTAAGGTCTGGAAACTAGGACAGAAAGGAGTAGAGGGATTTGTGAAGGTCAAAGGGAAATGACCAAGACATAAATACTTAAGGAGACAGGTAGGAGGAATAAAGGGTAACTTTTACCTGACTGCCCAAGGACACTAGTAGACTAGCAAACAGAAAAATGGGCTGTGAAGCAACAATTAGGCGTAAGTAATTCAAGACACCTGGAGGATATCCAGGTATGAATTCTAGAAGACAGAAGCTGAGAAGAGAACTCTGGTGATATATAAATCAATATTGAGGTTAATATAATAGTTAGCACTCACTAAGCCCAGGTGCCAAGTTCTGTACTAAGCACTTTCATAATTTATTACATCCAAGGACTACAAAACATTTTAAGGTGAATTATTATAACAATTTTATAGATTAGGAAAATAAAATTTGGAGAAAATAAAGCTTAGAGGCTCAAAATGCCTTAAGGGCAAACTGTCAATGACAATGACAAAGCCCCAACACAGCTGACGCTCTCCAGCATCATGCCATTCCACTTCCATAAACAAACCTAGCAGTCACAACTAACTGAGCAACAATTATGTTCAAGAGTTGTTTTATATACACACCACACGTATCTATTCACCTCCAATTTTATCGCTGACAAACCTGAGTTAGTATATGGCTAGGGCATATACCGGCGTCCCTGCAGAAACATACTGTATATACCACTCTTACTTGTTTTTTAAGATTTATTTTTAATTTACGCATACAAGAACTGGGGTGTAAGCCAGAGATGCAGGGGGTGACAGGATTCACCAGAGACAGAGTGGGAAGCTGAACAGACAGATCTACAAAACACACTGCTGAAGGGAGCAGCGGGTGAGAAAGGAAAGGTCTGCTGGGCCACAATGGGTTAGCTTCCTGGCCAAGAATCGAACTCAGGCTGCAGTGGCTGGTGATGCCTTAAAACAGCAAGACTTTAACCCCTGAGCAACCAGGGAGGCCCTATACCACTCTTATTTTTCTATCCAGGAATCCAAGAGTACTCCTATAGTCCCAAAATTAAATTTGCCCAAGAATTAACATAACTGCCTCGGGAGCCCTCATCAATGTTCAAATGAACAAAGTATACACCAAAGAGAAAACACCTTGGCAATAGCCAGGACTTCGGTAAGTCTTACATCACTGATCTGATACCAAACAAAAAAAAATCTACCCACTATTCCCAATTTAAGCAAAGCCTCAGAGGAAAGCAAACTATTTACAGAAATAAAAGTAATAAAGAAACAAAATAAAGGTACAGAATTTGTTAATGATAATATCTGAAAAAAAGAAAGAAGCAAACCTACTGCATTCATGAAATCATCATTCTTGAAGAGTATTCTCAGCAAATGGCCCAGCATACATTCTGGATCAGCTCGACCTACCAAAAGAGGAGGAACAAACAGAGGAATGAGTAAGTCAACCCAGTCAAGCAACCTATGGAAAGATAGTCACATTGTTGTACTATTAAAATGCTAGCAAAAATTAACATAAATAATGAAGATTATTTTGATAAATTAGATTTCATTAAGAAACATTTTTTTATTAAAAGTAACATATAAAAACCTGAGACACTGCTCTCCTAACCCTAATGCCTACACAGCAATGCTGAATTAAATAAATGAGCATTTGATCCAGATCAGCATCACTGATTTAAGGTCTACAAAAGAATCATAAAAAGTTTAAGAAAAAGAAAATCCCTAACTTCCCAGACAGAGAAAGGCAGGAAACACAATTTCCTTGGATGTGTGGCCTGGAGAAGATGAGCTCCAAACACAATCTCTTTCAACTATGGTTTGACAACCAAACCATAGATGCTTTCTCAAACCTATGTCATCCTATGTTAGACGGGGAAGGATCCCATTAAGGAATCATCAACTCTAAGATACAGTAACCATGGCCACTTAACTAATAGGCATCTAGGAAAAGAGAGGACCTCAAGGAGCCTAGGATCTTCTCAACATAGGGCCTCAAGGTAAAAGAATTTATTAACAGCTGGGAGAAATACTGGTTTGTTTTTAAGACATACCATCCATTTTATTTCATCTGTTTTTAGAGCATTAGACTGGCAAATTTAGTCAAAGGTTACAATTTAAGATGTAAACAGAAAGTTTTTACCAAACAGAAATGGTGTCACAAAGTAATTCACAAAAAGTTAAAAGACAGTATCATAAACACAACCAAGGACTTCAGATTACCTAGTTTTTTCTACTTATAAATGATGAAAGCAAGACCTTATTTTTATTTACAAAACCTATACCTAGTGAAAGATACTGTTTGTCATAAGAGGTAAAAAGGAAAAATAACCTTTAAATTTTTACTGAAAAACCACGTCTTTTTCTCTCTCCTTTCTCCCTAGTCAGCATTTCATCCTTTCCAAGGCAACATCTCTAAGTATGGCCATTTCTCTTTTAATTCTTTTCACAACCCCACACATTAACTTAATTTCTTTTTTCACATTTACTTTCATATCTTATTCTCTAACATCCTAACTGAAGATTTGGGTTAAATAGATGAAGAGTCTGCTGAAGTTATGAACTGCGAAGTTGAGGAAAAGTGCAGCAGGTAAATCACAAACAACTGGACACTAAATGGTATGCCTACCTTATGTATTTAGAACAAAAAGCTCAGACAGAATTAAGCCCTGGAACATTCAGGTAAACATACATTTTAATAACTCCCACTCATCCTCTCTCTCTCTCTACCTATAAAATCTCCAACTGTTCTCTCCACAAAGGACCAATTTATATAAAGAAAGTTTAAATGCAAGATGGACCCATATGTGACCTAAAATCTGCCCATTGATAATCTACGTTAGAACATAAAATGCCAAAATTTCAAATCCCATATAATTCTGTAATATGGCAAATCCCATGACAAAGCAGGCTGGGTTATCAAGGCCCCATTTAAATAAGCCCCAAATAAAACCAAATTAGCATGGTATGACATATTTTAGTAAAGATATTAAAGCAGACATCAAGAAAATCTCTTTACTTTTAAATTTTCCAAGTATCAACTTCATAACTAAAAGCAAGGCACTGATGACATTCTTAATTACATTTCCCTATTGGCAAAAGGATAATTACCTTTGTCAAAAAGATGAAGGCAAAGAGGATAACACCATTACCCTCTCCTCTAAGAGAATATTCTCTAAGTTTTTGTAATCACATCAAATTAGTTTAAGATCATTATGTTCTATTTGATCTATAAATATTGTAAATATTTCAACTTTCCTAGATAGTTGTCCTTACTGTCAAAACTTTAATAAAGTCTGAAAACGTAACAGAAAAGATGTCATTTCATTTAAAAAATACTTTATTAAGAAAATTCGTTTTGGGCCCTCCCTGGTGGCGCAGCGGGTTAAAGCACAGCACTAGAAGCTTAAGCCACTTCCGCATGAGTTTGATCCCCGCCTGCCCCGGAGGTGACCACATGGTGCGGCAGACCTCTCCTGACCAGCCTGCTGCTTCCCTCAGCAGTGTACTTCATCAATCTGCCTGTTCTGCTCCCC